GATAGATAGATAGGTAGATAGATAGATGGATAGATAGATAGATAGGTACGTAGATAGATAGATGGATAGATAGATAGATACATAGACAGATAGATTCGATAGATAGATAGATTAGATAGATAGATAGATTAAGTAGATAGATAGATAGATAGATAGATAGAGAGATAGATAGGATTAGATAGATAGATAGAAAGATAGATAGATAGATAGATAGATACATAGATAGATAGATAGATCGATAGATAGATAGATAGATATAGATAGATATAGAAAGATATAGATAGATATAGATATAGATATAAATATGGATAACTAGATAGGTAGATAGATAGATAGATAGATAGGTAGGTAGGTAGGTAGGTAAATAGAAAGATAGATAGATAGATAGATAGATAGCACATAGACAGATAGATTAGATAGATAAGATTAGTTATAGTTAGTTAGTTAGTTAGTTAGATAGATAGATAGATAGATAGATTAGATAGATAGATGGATGGATGGATAGATAGATAGATAGATAGACAGATAGATTAGATAGATAGATAGACAATGAGATTTAGATTAGATAAGATTAGATAGATTAGATAGATAGATAGATGGATAGATGGATAGATGGATAGATGGATAGATGGATAGATGGATAGATAGATAGATAGATCGATAGATCGATAGATCGATAGATCGATAGATAAATAGATAGATAGATAGATAGACAATTAGATTTAGATTTAGATTGGATTAGATTAGATAGATTAGATAGATAGATAGATAGATCGATAGATAGATAGATAGATAGATAGATGGATAGATAGATAGATAGACAGATAGATAGATAGATAGATAGCTAGATAACTAGATAGCTAGATAGCTAGATAGCTAGATAGCTAGATAGCTAGATCACTAGATAGATAGATAGATAGATAGATAGATTAGATAGATTAGATAGATAAGATAGATAAAATAGATAAAATAGATAAGATAGATAGATAGCTAGATAGATAGATAGATAGATCGATAGATAGATCGATAGATACGATAGATAGACAGATAGATAGATAGACAGATAGATAGATAGATAGACAGATAGATAGATAATAAGATAAGATAAGCTAAGATAAGATAAGATAGATAGATAGATAAATAGATAGATAGATTAGATAGATTAGATAGATAGATAGATAGATAAGATAGGTAAGATAGATAGATAGATAGATAGCTAGCTGGATAGATAGATAGATAGATAGACAGAAAGATAGATAGATAGATAGATCGATCGATGGATAGATAGATAGATACATAGATAGATTGGATAGATTAGATAGATTAGATTTTTTAGATAGATTAAATAGATTAGATAGAAAGAAAGAAAGATAGATAGATAGATAGACAGATAGATAGATAGTTGGATGGATGGATAGATAGATAGATAAGATAGATAGATTGATAGATAGATAGATGGATGGTTGGATGGATGGAAGGATAAATAGATAGGTAGATAGATAGATAGATATATATATATATGCACGATGGACCTTCATGTACTATTTGACCGTTGACTATTTTATTCCATTTCAAATTGAAAGCAATCTCCCAGACGACTGTTTTAGACATTCTTTGGAGTTTCATTACTTTTTGAATATTTTGAAATTCAAAAAATTCAAAATATTCAAAATATTTTTGTATTGGCTAAATTTCTTGAATATTTTGAATATTTTGAAATTCAAAAAAATCAAAATATTCAAAATATTTTTGTATTGGCTAAATTTTTTGAATATTTTGAAATTCAAAAAAATCAAAATATTCAAAATATTCAAAAAATGAAATCACCGAAAAAAGAGGTTCAGAGAGACTTTTGGGAGAAGTTCATTATACTTTGAATATTTTGAATATTTTGAAATTCAAAAAATTCAAAATATTCAAAATATTTTTGTATTGGCTAATTTTTTTTGAATATTTTGAATATTTTGAAATTCAAAAAATTGAGAATATTCAAAATATTTTTGTATTGGCTAAATTTTTTGAATATTTTGAAACTCAAAAAATTCAAAATATTGAGAATTTTCAAAAAATAATGAAATCACCAAAAAAGAGGTTCAGAGAGACTTTTGGGAGAAGTTCATTATATTTTGAATATTTTGAATATTTTGAAATTCAAAAAATTCAAAATATTCAAAATATTTTTGTATTGCCTAATTTTTTTTGAATATTTTGAATATTTTGAAATTCAAAAAATTCAAAATATTTTTGCATTGGCTAAATTTTTTGAATATTTTGAATATTTTGAAATTCAAAAAATTCAAGATAGTCAAAATATTTTTGTATTGGCTAATTTTTTGGAATATTTTGAATGTTTTGAAATTCAACAAATTCAAAATATTCAAAATATTCAAAAAATAATAAAATCACCAAAAACGAGGTTCAGAGAGACTTTTGGGAGAAGTTCATTATATTTGGAATATTTTCAATATTTTCAATATTTTGAAATTCAAAAAATTCAAAATATTCAAAATATTTTTGTATTGGCTAATTTTTTTGAATATTTTGAATTTTTTGAAATTCAACAAATTCAAAATATTCAAAATATTTTTGTATTGGCTAAATTTTTTGAATATTTTGAACATTTTGAAATTCAAAAAATTCAAAATATTGGCTAAATTTTTTGAATATTTTGAATATTTTGAAATTCAAAAAATTCAAAATATTCAAAATATTCAAAAAATGAAATCACCGAAAAAAGAGGTTCAGAGAGACTTTTGGGAGAAGTTCATTATATTTTGAATATTTTGAATTTTTTGAATATTTTGAAATTCAAATATTCAAAATATTTTTGTATTGGCTAAATTTTTTGAATATTTTGAATGTTTTGAAATTCAAAAAATTCAAAATATTCAAAATATTTTTGTCTTGGCTAAATTTTTTGAATATTTTGAATATTTTGAAATTCAAAAAATTCAAAATATTCAAAATATTTTTGTATTGGCTAAATTTCTTGAATATTTTGAATATTTTGAAATTCAAAAAAATCAAAATATTCAAAATATTTTTGTATTGGCTAAATTTTTTGAATATTTTGAAATTCAAAAAAATCAAAATATTCAAAATATTCAAAAAATGAAATCACCGAAAAAAGAGGTTCAGAGAGACTTTTGGGAGAAGTTCATTATACTTTGAATATTTTTAATATTTGAAATTCAAAAAACAAAATATTAAAATATTTTTTGTATCTGGCTAAATTTTTTTTTAATAGTTTTTGAAATTCAAAAAATTCAAAATATTCAAAATATTTTTGTATTGGCTAAATTTTTTGAATATTTTGAATATTTTGAAATTCAAAAAATTCAAAATATTCAAAACATTTTTGTATTGGCTAAATTTTTTGAATATTTTGAGTATTTTGATATTCGAAAAATTCAAAATATTCAAACTATTCAAAATATTCAAAAAATAATGAAATCGCCAAAAAAGAGGTTCAGAGAGACTTTGGGGAGAAGTTCATTATATTTTGAATATTTTAAATTTTTTAAATATTTTTTGAATATTTTGAAATTCAAAAAATTCAAAATATTCAAAATATTTTTGTATTGGCTAAATTTTTTGAATATTTTGAATATTTTGAAATTCAAAAAAAGCCAAATATTCAAAATATTTTTGTATTGGCTAAATTTTTTGAATATTTTGAATATTTTGAATATTTTGAAATTCAAAAAATTACAAATATTCAAAATATTCAAAAAATAATGAAATCAACAAAAGGAGGTTCAGAGAGACTTTTGGGAGAAGTTCATTATATTTTGAATATTTTGAAATTCAAAAAATTCAAAATATTCAAAATATTTTTGTATTGGCTAATTTTTTTTGAATATTTTGAATATTTTGAAATTCAAAAAATTCAAAATATTCAAAATATTTTTGTATTGGCTAAATTTTTTGAATATTTTGAATATTTTGAAACTCAAAAAATTCAAAATATTCAAAATATTTTTGTATTGGCTAAATTTTTTGAATATTTTGAAATTTTTGAAATTCAAAAAAATCAAAATATTCAAAATATTGAGAATTTTCAAAAAATAATGAAATCACCAAAAACGAGGTTCAGAGAGACTTTTGGGAGAAGTTCATTATATTTTGATTTTTTTTGAATTTTTTGAATATTTTGAAATTCAAAATATTCAAAATATTTTTGTGTTGGCTAAATTTTTTGAATATTTTGAATGTTTTGAAATTCAAAAAATTCAAAATATTCAAAATATTTTTGTATTGGCTAAATTTTTTGAATATTTTGAAATTCAAAAAATTCAAAATATTCAAAATACTTTTGTTTTGGCTAAATGTTTTGAATATTTTGAGTATTTTGAAATTAAAAAAAATCAAACTATTCAAAATATTCAAAAAATAATGAAATCACCAAAAAGAGGTTCAGAGAGACTTCGGGGAGAAGTTCATTATATTTTGAATATTTTTAAATTTTTGAATATTTTGAATATTTTGAAATTCAAAAAATTCAAAATATTCAAAATATTTTTGTATATGGCATTGGGTTCAGTACATTATGATCGCCAATTCCATTAATCGCCATTCATAAACCATGATTCACAATTCGTAGCCATTCACTATTATCTACTATTATTCCTGTAACCATTAACCACTATATTCACCATTAACCACTATATTCACCATTAATTATTCTTCATTAATAACCATTGTCATTAACCATTGTTTCTCCCTGACAAAAACGCAACCGCGCCATGTGACAAACATCCCGTGGGATCCGTCGCGAAGCGTTGTTCTCCAGTGTACCTGGCCAAAAAAAGATGCCATAAACTACCATCTGGAAGCCATGGCCCATAGAAATAGATGGTTTCCCGAAATGAAAAATTATGTTATTTATGGATGATACCAACTGGTTATTTTACACATAGCCATGGAAAATCCCAACCATAAATGGAGGTCGGATAAAGCTGGGGAAATCATCTATTTCGATTAGGGCCATCTATACCACGGCTATGTTAAATATCCAGAGGGCACACCAAAAATGACCATAATTCCAACAAACGGTGAATTTTATTGATTCTGCAACATATCATAAAAATGCACAAAGCTCTAAAATATCACTTTATCAACTGGAATTAGGATTTAGGAAACAACAAATGACGCATCCTTATAACATCATTGTTGTCGCTAAGGTCAACGGTCATCGCAGTCGTTCGCAGTCGTTGGTGATGTGAAGAAACATCTCTAAGGTCATTTAATCAGGTCTGACATATCTCTGTTGGATTCTGTTGGTCAGAATACTGCGCAACAATCTTCCTTTGTACATCGTTTTTGTTCCCCATTTCTTGAAACCATAGGATTCATTGATCTTTTTGGCCATAGGAAGTGGTAAACCTCGGCTGATCTCCGGCTCACTTCACCCGCAGCACTTCCGAGGCAATCTCGCAACTCTCGGGGTTTTCTAAGGGCTTGGAACCCCTGGGGCAATCGACGCCTGGGTGTTTTTTTTGCTGCGCCATGGGGAATGGGAAAAGGGAAAAGTGACATATATGGCACGAGCAGCCATACGCAACGCCTAGGGCCTAGTTAAGCAACAAAGTCATGGAGTCGAGGAATATGAAAGGTATCTAAGTTTCAAAGTCATGGTGAATCAGTCAGTAGAATACAAGATATGTAGATCATCGGTACCAGTGGTAGCAGTGGTAACCCCTGGATGATCGTTGTGGGATGATTCGGGACCCAGTCGAAATACACCCATTTTCGTCGACATTGAAAGGGAGCCTAGCCTCGCAAGCACAAAATCATCCCAAGCATCGGGGAAAAACATGGAAAAACAACGACTTCACAAATCGCAAGTAGGTTGGACGGTGACTATATGGCAGTGTCAAAATAGCTGGGATTTATGGAGATAATCCCCTAAAAATGGGTATTAATAGGTATGATCCATTACCCATATGTGACTATCGTACGGATCCCTTTTCAGTTGTTTTCACCTTGATATTAGTCCCGGATTAAATCAACGGCGCCTAAGAAATTGGCCGGGCGCCGCGCATAAGGAGCCAAAGTCAAATCAAACAGGATGCAAAGAAAACTGAGATGAACGGAGGACTTGGAGACTCTGGATGTGATCTACCCAAAAAACTATTACACGAATATATATATATGTACGATGGACCTTTATGTACTATTTGAACGTTTGCATGTCGAAAGGATTTTATTGAAATTATACCTCTTTCTGGAGAATCCCTACTAGTTAATCTATATACCAAAAAGAAAGAAATGGAATTCAAAAAATTCAAAAAAAAAATGAATACATATTTTTTTTGATTTTTTTGATTTTTTTGAATTCCATTTCTTTCTTTTTGGGACTTTCATTTTTTTTTTGAATTTTTTGAATTTTTTGAATTCAAAAAATTCAAAAAAAATGAATACATATTTTTTTTTGAATTTTTTGAATTCAAAAAAATCAAAAAAAAAGTGAATACATAATTTTTTTTGAATTTTTTGAATTCAAAAAATTCAAAAAATTCAAAAAAAAAATGAAAGTCCCAAAAAGAAAGAAATGGAATTCAAAAAATTCAAAAAATTCAAAAAAAATGAATACATATTTTTTTTTGAATTTTTTGAATTTTTTGAATTCCATTTCTTTCTTTTTGGGACTTTCATTTTTTTTTGAATTTTTTGAATTTTTTGAATTCAAAAAAAAATTATGTATTCATTTTTTTTTGAATTTTTTGAATTCCATTTCTTTCTTTTTGGGACTTTCATTTTTTTTTTGAATTTTTTGAATTTTTTGAATTCCATTTCTTTCTTTTTGGGACTTTCATTTTTTTTTTGAATTTTTTGAATTCAAAAAAAAAAGTGAATACATATTTTTTGAATTCAAAAAATTCAAAAAATTCAAAAAAAATGAATACATATTTTTTTTTGAATTTTTTGAATTTTCTGAATTCAAAAAATTCAAAAAAATCAAAAAAATCAAAAAAAAATGAAAGTCCCAAAAAGAAAGAAATGGAATTCAAAAAATTCAAAAAATTCAAAAAAAAAATGAATACATAATTTTTTTTGAATTTTTTGAATTCCATTTCTTTCTTTTTGGGACTTTCATTTTTTTTTGAATTTTTTGAATTTTTTGAATTCAAAAAATTCAAAAAATTCAAAAAAAAAGTGAATACATATTTTTTTTTGATAGAGAAATAAGGAGACAAGTTGGGAACAGACAAGGAGACAAGTATGGAAACCAATGGGAGGCAAGAAGAATCCTTCGCCATCGAGCAACCACGAAGAGTCACGAAGAGGATCCTGTGCCCAGAAGCACCCAGGAAGAAGAACAGTAACAGGGAGGGACAAAAAGAAATGAAGAGAGGAGACTGCAATTATGGCCCCAAAGCACCTGAAGGTCCTAAAGCCTAGACCACACAGTAAGTAGGAAAAAACTGGCTGAATAAGGACACAGATGGGAACACACAGATGGGAACACATGGGAGACAAGGGGAATCTTGGGTCCCAAAAGCGGGAACAACAGGAATGAGGAGAGAAGTGAAGAAAGCGCTGGGAAAGACTACAGGGACAAGGAAGGAAAGAAAGGAAAGAGGAGAAAAACTATCCTCTCCCTCCCAAATGCCGGAGACCTGGAAAGAAGCGCGGTAGTGGAGAGAGGATAAGGAGACAAGTTGGAGACAAGTAGGAAGGTAAGTAGGGTAACATGTGGTAGAGACCGAGGGTAAGGGAATGTGACCTGAACAAAGGAAGAAAAGTTAAGGAGAAACACAAGAGGCCAGGAAATCCATTCTTCTCCAAGCAGCAGCAGCAATGAGGAGGGAATTAAGGATACACGTTGGAGGGAACAAGAAAGGGCAAGTGAGGAACCGGAGAGAATCATGTGTCCAAATAAGCACCTACAGAGAAGAACAGCAAGAGAGAGAGAGAGAGAGAAGTAAGGGCATGAGTTGGAGAGAACAAGGGGGACAAGCACGGAGACAGACAGAGGACAAGGAGCATACTGTGCCCCGGAAGCACACAGAGAGAACAGCCACATATGAGAGTGAAGTAGAGAGACGAGTACGAAAACAGATGGGACTTGAGTCCTGTCCCCAAAGCCACCAGAACGAAGAACACTGAGCAATGGAGAGAGAAGTGAGGAACGGGAGACAAGGAGATTCCTTTGACCGAAAGCACCCAGAGAGAAGAATCGCAATGGAGATAGAGAAGTAAGGAGACAAGTTGGGAACAGACAAGGAGACAAGTATGGAAACAAATGGGAGGCAAGAAGAATCCTTTGCCATCGAGCACCACGAAGAGTATCCTGTGCTAAGGATTTAGGATTTAGGAAACATCATTGTTGTCGCTAAGGTCAACGGTCATCGCAGTCGTTCGCAGTCGTTGGTGATGTGAAGAAACATCTCTAAGGTCATTTAATCAGGTCTGACATATCTCTGTTGGATTCTGTTGGTCAGAATACTGCGCAACAATCTTCCTTTGTACATCGTTTTTGTTCCCCATTTCTTGAAACCATAGGATTCATTGATCTTTTTGGCCATAGGAAGTGGTAAACCTCGGCTGATCTCCGGCTCACTTCACCCGCAGCACTTCCGAGGCAATCTCGCAACTCTCGGGGTTTTCTAAGGGCTTGGAACCCCTGGGGCAATCGACGCCTGGGTGTTTTTTTTGCTGCGCCATGGGGAATGGGAAAAGGGAAAAGTGACATATATGGCACGAGCAGCCATACGCAACGCCTAGGGCCTAGTTAAGCAACAAAGTCATGGAGTCGAGGAATATGAAAGGTATCTAAGTTTCAAAGTCATGGTGAATCAGTCAGTAGAATACAAGATATGTAGATCATCGGTACCAGTGGTAGCAGTGGTAACCCCTGGATGATCGTTGTGGGATGATTCGGGACCCAGTCGAAATACACCCATTTTCGTCGACATTGAAAGGGAGCCTAGCCTCGCAAGCACAAAATCATCCCAAGCATCGGGGAAAAACATGGAAAAACAACGACTTCACAAATCGCAAGTAGGTTGGACGGTGACTATATGGCAGTGTCAAAATAGCTGGGATTTATGGATGTTCATTCCCTAAAAATGGTATTAATAGGTATTGATCCATACCCATATGTGACTATTCTTACGGATCCCTTTTCAGTTGTTTTCACTTGATATTAGTCCCGGATAAATCAACGGCGCCTAATAATTGGCCGGGCTGCCGCGCACTAGGATGCCAACATGTCAAATCAACAGGATGCAAAGAACTGAGATGAACGGAGACTCTGGAGACTCTGGATGTGACTACCCAAACTATTACACAATATATATATATGTACGATGGACCTTTATGTACTATTTGAACGTTTGCATGTCGAAAGGATTTTATTGAAATTATACCTCTTTCTGGAGAATCCCTACTAGTTAATCTATATACCAAAAAGAAAGAAATGGAATTCAAAAAATTCAAAAAATTCAAAAAAAAAATGAATACATATTTTTTTTGATTTTTTTGAATTTTTTGAATTCCATTTCTTTCTTTTTGGGACTTTCATTTTTTTTTTTTGAATTTTTTGATTTTTTTGAATTCAAAAAATTCAAAAAAAAAGTGAATACATATTTTTTTTTGAATTTTTTGAATTTTTTGAATTCAAAAAATTCATCAAAAAAAAAGTGAATACATATTTTTTTTTGAATTTTTTGAATTTTTTGAATTCAAAAAATTCAAAAAAAAAATGAAAGTCCCAAAAAGAAAGAAATGGAATTCAAAAAATTCAAAAAATTCAAAAAAAATGAATACATATTTTTTTTTGAATTTTTTGAATTTTTTGAATTCCATTTCTTTCTTTTTGGGACTTTCATTTTTTTTTGAATTTTTTGAATTTTTTGAATTCAAAAAAAAATTATGTATTCATTTTTTTTTGAATTTTTTGAATTCCATTTCTTTCTTTTTGGGACTTTCATTTTTTTTTTGAATTTTTTGAATTTTTTGAATTCCATTTCTTTCTTTTTGGGACTTTCATTTTTTTTTTTTGAATTTTTTGAATTCAAAAAAAAAAGTGAATACATATTTTTTGAATTCAAAAAATTCAAAAATTCAAAAAAAAAAGTGAATACATATTTTTTTTTGAATTTTTTGAATTTTCTGAATTCAAAAAATTCAAAAAATTCAAAAAATCAAAAAAATCAAAAAAAAAATGAAAGTCCCAAAAAGAAAGAAATGGAATTCAAAAAATTCAAAAAATTCAAAAAAAAGAATACATAATTTTTTTTGAATTTTTTGAATTTTTTGATTTTTTTGAATTCCATTTCTTTCTTTTTGGGACTTTCATTTTTTTTTGAATTTTTTGAATTTTTTGAATTCAAAAAATTCAAAAAATTCAAAAAAAAAGTGAATACATATTTTTTTTTGATAGAGAATAAGGAGACAAGTTGGGAACAGACAAGGAGACAAGTATGGAAACCAATGGGAGGCAAGAAGAATCCTTCGCCATCGAGCAACCACGAAGAGTCACGAAGAGTATCCTGTGCCCAGAAGCACCCAGGAAGAAGAACAGTAACAGGGAGGGACAAAAAGAAATGAAGAGAGGAGACTGCAATTATGGCCCCAAAGCACCTGAAGGTCCTAAAGCCTAGACCACACAGCAAGTAGGAAAAAACTGGCTGAATAAGGACACAGATGGGAACACATGGGAGACAAGGGGAATCTTGGGTCCCAAAAGCGAGAACAACAGGAATGAGGAGAGAAGTGAAGAAAGCGCTGGGAAAGACTACAGGGACAAGGAAGGAAAGAAAGGAAAGAGGAGAAAAACTATCCTCTCCCTCCCAAATGCCGGAGACCTGGAAAGAAGCGCGGTAGTGGAGAGAGAATAAGGAGACAAGTTGGAGACAAGTAGGAAGGTAAGTAGGGTAACATGTGGTAGAGACCGAGGGTAAGGGAATGTGACCTGAACAAAGGAAGAAAAGTTAAGGAGAAACACAAGAGGCCAGGAAATCCATTCTTCTCCAAGCAGCAGCAGCAATGAGGAGGGAATTAAGGATACACGTTGGAGGGAACAAGAAAGGGCAAGTGAGGAACCGGAGAGAATCATGTGTCCAAATAAGCACCTAGAGAGAAGAACAGCAAGAGAGAGAGAGAGAGAGAAGTAAGGGCATGAGTTGGAGAGAACAAGGGGGACAAGCACGGAGACAGACAGAGGACTAGGAGCATACTGTGCCCCGGAAGCACCCAGAGAGAACAGCCACATATGAGAGTGAAGTAGAGAGACGAGTACGAAAACAGATGGGACTTGAGTCCTGTCCCCAAAGCCACCAGAACGAAGAACACTGAGCAATGGAGAGAGAAGTGAGGAACGGGAGACAAGCAGATTCCTTTGACCGAAAGCACCCAGAGAGAAGAATCGCAATGGAGATAGAGAAGTAAGGAGACAAGTTGGGAACAGACAAGGAGACAAGTATGGAAACAAATGGGAGGCAAGAAGAATCCTTTGCCATCGAGCACCACGAAGAGTATCCTGTGCCCAGAAGCACCCAGGAAGAAGAACAGTAACAGGGAGGGACAAAAAGAAATGAAGAGGTCCTAAAGCCTAGACAAAACAGCAAGTAGGAAAAAATTGGCTGAAGAAGGACACAGATGGGAACACATGGGAGACAAGGGGAATCTTGGGTCCCAAAAGCGAGAACAACAGGAATGAGGAGAGAAGTGAAGAAAGCGCTGGGAAAGACCACAGGGACAAGGAAGGAAAGAAAGGAAAGAGGAGAAAAACTATCCTCTCCCTCCCAAATGCCGGAGACCTGGAAAGAAGCACGGTAGTGGAGAGAGAATACGGAGACAAGTTGGAGACACGTAGGAAGGTAAGTAGGGTAACATGTGGTAGAGACCGAGGGTAAGGGAATGTGACCTGAACAAAGGAAGAAAAGTTAAGGAGAAACACAAGAGGCCAGGAAATCCGTTCTTTCCCAAGCAGCAGCAGCAATGAGGAGGGAATTAAGGATACACGTTGGAGGGAACAAGGGAGGACAAGGGAGGACAAGTGAGGAACCAGAGAGAATCATGTGTCCAAATAAGCACCTAGAGAGAAGAACAGCAAGAGAGAGAGAGAGAGAGAGAAAAGAGAGAGAGAGAGAAGTAAGGGCACGAGTTGGAGAGAACAAGGGGGACAAGCACGGAGACAGACAGAGGACAAGGAGCATACTGTGCCCCGGAAGCACCCAGAGAGAACAGCCACATGTGAGAGTGAAGTAGAGAGACGAGTACGAAAACAGATGGGACTTGAGTCCTGTCCCCAAAGCCACCAGAACGAAGAACACTGAGCAATGGAGAGAGAAGTGAGGAACGGGAGACAAGGAGATTCCTTTGACCGAAAGCACCCAGAGAGAAGAATCGCAATGGAGATAGAGAAGTAAGGAGACAAGTTGGGAACAGACAAGGAGACAAGTATGGAAACAAATGGGAGGCAAGAAGAATCCTTTGCCATCGAGCACCACGAAGAGTATCCTGTGCCCAGAAGCACCCAGGAAGAAGAACAGTAACAGTGAGGGACAAAAAGAAATGAAGAGAGGAGACTGCAAGAAGGCGGTGACGGAAGGGACACGAATGAGGGACTCGGTAATGTTTATGGCCCCCAAAACCACCTGAAGGTCCTAAAGCCTAGACCACACAGCAAGTAGGAAAAAATTGGCTGAATAAGGACACAGATGGGAACACATGGGAGACAAGGGGAATCTTGGGTCCCAAAAGCGAGAACAACAGGAATGAGGAGAGAAGTGAAGAAAGCGCTGGGAAAGACTACAGGGACAAGGAAGGAAAGAAAGGAAAGAGGAGAAAAACTATCCTCTCCCTCCCAAATGCCGGAGACCTGGAAAGAAGCGCGGTAGTGGAGAGAGAATAAGGAGACAAGTTGGAGACAAGTAGGAAGGTAAGTAGGGTAACATGTGGTAGAGACCGAGGGTAAGGGAATGTGACCTGAACAAAGGAAGAAAAGTTAAGGAGAAACACAAGAGGCCAGGAAATCCATTCTTCTCCAAGCAGCAGCAGCAATGAGGAGGGAATTAAGGATACACGTTGGAGGGAACAAGGGAGGACAAGGGAGGACAAGTGAGGAACCAGAGAGAATCATGTGTCCAAATAAGCACCTAGAGAGAAGAACAGCAAGAGAGAGAGAGAGAGAAGAGAGAGAGAGAGAGAGAAGTAAGGGCACGAGTTGGAGAGAACAAGGGGGACAAGCACGGAGACAGACAGAGGACAAGGAGCATACTGTGCCCCGGAAGCACCCAGAGAGAACAGCCACATGTGAGAGTGAAGTAGAGAGACGAGTACGAAAACAGATGGGACTTGAGTCCTGTCCCCAAAGCCACCAGAACGAAGAACACTGAGCAATGGAGAGAGAAGTGAGGAACGGGAGACAAGGAGATTCCTTTGACCGAAAGCACCCAGAGAGAAGAATCGCAATGGAGATAGAGAAGTAAGGAGACAAGTTGGGAACAGACAAGGAGACAAGTATGGAAACAAATGGGAGGCAAGAAGAATCCTTTGCCATCGAGCACCACGAAGAGTATCCTGTGCCCAGAAGCACCCAGGAAGAAGAACAGTAACAGGGAGGGACAAAAAGAAATGAAGAGGTCCTAAAGCCTAGACAAAACAGCAAGTAGGAAAAAATTGGCTAAATAAGGACACAGATGGGAACACATGGGAGACAAGGGGAATCTTGGGTCCCAAAAGCGAGAACAACAGGAATGAGGAGAGAAGTGAAGAAAGCGCTGGGAAAGACTACAGGGACAAGGAAGGAAAGAAAGGAAAGAGGAGAAAAACTATCCTCTCCGTCCCAAATGCCGGAGACCTGGAAAGAAGCACGGTAGTGGAGAGAGGATAAGGAGACAAGTTGGAGACAAGTAGGAAGGTAAGTAGGGTAACACGTGGTAGAGACTGAGGGTAAGGGAATGTGACCTGAACAAAGGAAAAAAGGCAGGGAGAAACACAAGAGGCCAGGAAATCCATTCTTCCCCCAGCAGCAGCAATGGGGAGGGGATTAAGGATACACGTTGGAGGGAACAAGAAAGGGCAAGTGAGGAACCGGAGAGAATCATGTGTCCAAATAAGCACCTAGAGAGAAGAACAGCAAGAGAGAGAGAGAGAAGTAAGGGCATGAGTTGGAGAGAACAAGGGGGACAAGCACATAGACAGACAGAGGACAAGGAGCATACTGTGCCCCGGAAGCACCCAGAGAGAACAGCCACATGTGAGAGTGAAGTAGAGAGACGAGTACGAAAACAGATGGGACTTGAGTCCTGTCCCAAAGCCACCAGAACGAAGAACACTGAGCAATGGAGAGAGAAGTGAGGAACGGTAAACAAGGGGAGATTCCTTTGACCGAAAGCACCCAGAGAGAAGAATCGCAATGGAGATAGAGAAATAAGGAGACAAGTTGGGAACAGACAAGGAGACAAGTATGGAAACAAATGGGATCAGAAAGGAGGACGGTCGCATTATACCAAAAGGTCCCTGCCACATATATATATATATAGCCTAGAGGTGGTTTATCCCATTATTTACAGGGTTTCAACATGTTTCGACCATCCTGAAATGGTGGTGCAAGTTTCAACCATTGCTTGACCATGAATTTCTCCACGAAAAGAGCAACCACGATGTACATGGAAGAGACTTATCTCTTACGCCAACCATCAAATGTGGATGGTAAGCAAAATTGTAAGTTCCAATTAAATATATGACTTATATTACCCTCTGGTAAACTAACACAGCTATGGAAAAACACCACTTTTAATAGATAAATCACCATTTTTAGTGGGTAAATCACCATTTTCAATGGGTAAATCACCATTTTTAATGGGTAAATGTGCCATGTTCATCCATTTTCAATAGCCATGTTGACATAACCAGAGGGAAAACAAATCCCTGGAAACTCAGATCACAGCCATTTCATCGACGCCTTGCTGGCCATGTGTTATGATCATATCCCCAAAAACAGAGTAACATATGGAATATATATATATAGAGTATATATAGTCACATATCAAACATTCCATACCTTCAGTTTTGGACAAACCCTTGAATACATATATATAATAACGTATATATAATAATATTTATATATATATATTATATATATATAATATATGTACGTATATCTATATACAAAATTAAACATCTAGAACAAAAACGACAGATGCATCCCAACATGTAACATGTATCTCATCATTACCCCTGGGATATGGGTATTTGTCAATCCATTGGTTAACCATCACATCTCCCATGAACAAAATGCTATTTTGGGGGTATACCCAATTTTCAGACAGACCCACATATTGTTGGATAATGTTGGTTGTATATCCATAAATATATCCCATTACATCCAATTCAATCCTACTATCTCCCATTTTCCAGATAGAATTTCCACATATGACCCAGTTATAGTTATAGATGTTATAGTTAGTAAAAACAAAAGCCTATATTACATCCTCATTTTGCTATCCCATTTTGCTATCCCATTATGAAATATCCAGAAACATATCACCATCATTTTGCGCATCTTCCCACCACCAAGCAGCTGTCGTGCTGCGACATCGTGAAGCGAGCCGCCCGGAGCTGCCCTTCGCTGGGGCCCTGGCGAATCAAGGCGAAGCGCCAAAAATGATGAGATTTTTTGTGGGATATCAAATAGCTATTAATTGATATAAAATATAGATATTATGGGATATGATATTGATATTGTGGGATATAATATAGATATTGTGGGATATAATATTGATATTATGGGATATAATATAGATATTGTGGGATATTTCTTATTGATATGGGACAAACTAGTGATATTAATTGATATTAAGATTATATGATATTCTATGATGGAATCTTGTGATATGGGATCATCATGGGACCAACAACCACTCATCAACGACCACAGCTCAAGGCAGCGAGAGGAGCACCGACGCACCGGGGGGGTTGGTTGAAACCACATGATTTAAAAGTGATGATATTTGCGACCAAATTGAAATATCACTTTAGGTTGAAACCACTTGGTATCACCGACTTTGCGAAGCTTCAGATTTTATTCACAAAATCAGTGATACCCTCTTGTAAACATACAAAAAGCTATTGAACATGGCCCATTGAAATAGTTGATTTACCCATGAAAGTGGCGATGTTCCAGTTCGTTATGTAAACGTTTACCAGAGGATTTTTTGGATGATATTAGGGTGTATCTGAAAATGGATGGAGGATACACGGTGCCATGCCCTATTTTCTGACAAGCCCATATTCGGGTTTGACCATGTTTAACCAGGGTCAGTAATAAGTTTGAAAACTAATGAAAGATTAATCAGGTGGACATGCATTCAGTATCAGATCAACTATCAATGAAATTAAATAGGAATAAAATGGTTTTGAGATGTTTTGAGCCTGTTATTCCACCTTGTCCTCTGACATCCAAAAAGAAACTGAGAAGGTTTTCTCTTACAAACAAAAGGTGCTTAGAAGTCTTGGCTGCAGATTCTATGAATGCTCCATCAGTACGAGTAGTTCAGTATACAGTATACATATTACATCAATTCTCAAGTCATGGGCTTCTTGCTGCCTAGATTGCTTCCTATACATGCATCTATATCCTTGGTTAGTGATGAAATCAAACAATTCTTACATAGATAGGAAGTCATTCTTTTTGACAGTAAATCCAATTTTTGGAACATGATAGAACATCATAGAAAATCCCATCATCTAAAATCTAAACTAAACATTTAAGACAATGATGAAAATGATCAGCTTCCATCATCGAACATTGAAGAACATCATGAACAAATCCACAACAAAATGATTAAGCCACGGTTTTAAGGGGGTTGCCCCATTTTCAGACAAATCATGACAAATCCATATCTGGTTGGTGGTGTCAACCATCTTGAAGAATATGACTTCGTCAGTTGGGATCATGACATTCCCAATTCGTATGGAAAAATAAAATTCATGTTCCAGTCACCACCAACTAGATATTATTAACCATCATTAAGCATCATTAACCATCATTAACCATTAATATTAACCATTAATATTAACCATCATTATTCACCATGATTAACCACCATTAACCACCAACCAGGTATGGTAAGGTCACCAATAAATCACCCAAAAAAAATCCCACCATTCCATGGCGCAGCGAGCTCGGCAGCGGAGCACGCCTGAAAGGTCCGAAACGCCTCCGGCAGCTCCGCCGCGGCGGCGAAGGCGGCGCCTCGGGGCACGCAAAAAAGGTGACGACACATGGAGGAAAACCATAGGAAAACCATAGGAAAATGGTGATTTAAAGGTGTTTTAATAGGAATGAATGGTGATTTAATGGGATCTAACTATTGAAAATGGTGATTTAATGGTGATTTAATGGTGTTTAATGATGAATAATGGTGAATTTTTATATTATGAATAATGATGGTTGAATGGGATTTAGAAAAGTCGCTATTCACCATGAAACTATAATGGTATATAATTCATTAATACAATGGGATTGAATGGGAATATAGGTTTAGAGTGATGACCAGATTGATAATCATGGCCATGGCTGGCTCAACGAAGGTCTTGATGGGAAACTATGGGAAAATGGTCGATAAAATATGGGAACATCATCAGCCTGGAGGTTCCGATGATTAACTACAAATCATCTATGAATAGAGGATTTTCCAGCTCAAAACTATTCAATTCACCCAAGCATCAACAACTCTAGAGATTTAAACTGCCGACATAAGGCAAAAGTTAAAGGTTTAACATGTTGGGTGGAAGCTCATCATTATTTTTTGAGCGGGTGAAAATTCACACAGCAAGCAGTGAACATTTCATATTTGTTCATGATTTCAGGAATTGATTGGAGTTTCAACTGCAAACTTCCAGCGAAAAATGGAGATGAACATCAACAAAACGGATTTAAGCTGCCGAAATCGGGAGACTCGTGGGGCACGGCTGAGCCCCCTTGCAAAAAAACACACGTTTGACGTTTGCTGTTCTTTTTGTGGGTGTTCCGGAATTGAGGTTTCTGTTCCCATACAAAGACACGAAGAAACACAACGTCAGGCCCAGACCATCTTATGACTACATAAGCCTCCTTTTTTTATACTGGCTATTTACACAACGATAGTTTTGAGATCATTTCAGTATAGCCGCTATAGCCGCTTTCATTGCTGAGACACCCCATAAGTATTATGGAACATATGGAACAACGTAATGATAGAACATAATGTTGCTTCACATAGGCAGAGGCATGAAATTGATGATGGAACCTGAACATACAAGGCGGACGAGAAGAACAAGGCTTCATGGCCATCTACTGCGGGTTACAGGGGATTCCACGTTGGATTAGTCCAAACAAAGCCCAGCAGTACAATGCCCAAAAAAACCACCAAGCAATATCATTTTGGGCCTCTATCCTCACTTTTGAAGGTGAATGCCACTTTTCTTTGGTTCAGCGATCCCACACATTTTTACAGCCCCAGAAAAACCGACGCCAAATCGCCGTGTCTCGCCTGGCAGTGTCTGCAAACTCTGCAGCGCAGTCTGTGCCTATGGCGACCCATCCATTTTTGGGGCTAGATCATCTTGAGCCATTCCCAGCTGCATCTACAGTAATGTGGCTAAAACAATGTCATAAACCACCCATTTTGGGAATGGTGGTTTATACCACCTATAAAAATGCTGATGACTGGGGGATGGTTTATGGCATTGTTTTACCCACATTAGAGGAGATTCAGCCGAATACACTTCATGGACCTGCGGTTAATAACCCAACAATTGGGTGATATGATACGGAACAGATCGGGATTTCACCAACTCGAACGGCGTATTTTTTTTTCAGCAAAGATGATCGTCAGATTACATCGATTTTACCATGGGGTTCCATCGGTCAATATTAAGGCTTGATGCCCGTAATGGCAAACATCGCTGCGTTCACATCACAGAGGACAAAATCAAAGAGTGAAAGAACTACAACTGCTCAAACATTGGGTCCATAATGTAGATTTCTCGCAAAATGACATCTTGTTGGTTGTGCAATAACCATCCTGAAAAATGATGGAGTTCGTCATTGGGAAGGATGAGATCCCATATATGAAATGGACAATAAAAGCCATGTTTGAAACCACCAACCAGACATATCACATCTCCAAACTGGCACATCACATGGGAAAAAATCGATCCGTGGCTGATCTCGGCGGATTTTCGCCCCAAAATGGCTGTTAACGAATAGTTTAAATAGGGATCATATGGGATAAACATGGATAAACTGATATAAACTGGCTGTTCAAATCTTGGATCTAATATGGGCTAAACCATGATGAACTATGATGTTTTCTCATGGGTGAAGCCATATTGACCATATTAATTAACCATATTAATGAACCATATTAATTAACCATATATTAAATTAACCATATTAATTAACCATATTAATTAACCATATTAATTAACCATATTAATTAACCATATATTAACCATATAAATTCCATATATTAAATTAACCATATATTAACCATATTAATGAACCATATTAATTAACCATATATTAAATTAACCATATTAATTAACCATATTAATTAACCATATTAATTAACCATATTAATTAACCATATTAATTAACCATATATTAACCATATAAATTCCATATATTAAATTAACCATATATTAACCATATTAATTAACCATATTAATTAACCATATATTAACCATCTTATCCAATATGGGTTAATATTAACCATACGGGTTCCCCTTAAACAAAAACAGCCCGCCCGGCCTGGGTTGGTGGGAGCCGACGGATGGGCTTGTTGCCAAAGGCATAGTGAAGCACCAGGAAAACCGAACCTGATGGTCGGTTAATCATGGTGAATAATAGTTACAATGTGATGTTAGTTGGTTTAGATTCGCCCCAGTAACTATAGTTATAAGTACCAACTTAGCTATCTTGGGGGCCTCACATTGTAATAATGGGATTTCCATGGTTAATAACAGTTAATAATTGTTAATCATGTTGAATAATGATGGTTAATAATGATGGTTAATCAATGGTTAATCTATGGTTAATGATTGTTAATAATGGTTTAATGATGGTTAATGATATCTGGTCGGTGATGGTAGGAAAGTTGATGATCGGCTTGATGAATGATGTTTTTTTAGTGAAAAGGCTGGTATTTGACACTAGAAAGGAGATCTAAATCTGCATCTGATAGCATTTGCTGAACATTAATGCATTTACCGTTCCTACCATCCACCACCCAGAAAACCATGCAAACTGTGGTGATTCCTAGTGAACATCAATGCGGCGGAACAAGAAAATTGGATCTTAGTGCGCTCTCTTTGAACCTTCCTATGCAGCCCTGGTGGACCTAATTGCCTTGCTGACTATGGGCTACATCAGGCTTCAAAGAAAAAGTCTCAGTGGGGTGTGGATTGAATTTACCCATCAATTACGAGTCGGTCAGTGCAGTGGCTGCAACAAGTTGACAACGCGAGGAGCTGATTAGTCGATTGTATTTTCCCATCACCGCACCATGGCAACAAGAACAATCAACAAACTTACCACACCACGGCTTCTATAGCTCTCCAGTCACGCATAATATATGCTATATATAAAAATGATATATGATGTCAAAACATACCTGTATCTACAATCTTATCATACACATATGATCTCGTTCCCATCTTAAATAAACTTATCATCATCATATAGTATCATATCTACAATTATCTAGCTATTGATCATATAGTTCATATATATCTTCATATCATTCCCATCTTATGGTGCTATTCCATCCCACAATTATCTATAGCTGGTTGGCGGTTTAAATCCTTCTGAAAAATATGAGTTCGTCAATGGGAAGGATGACGTCCCATATATGAAATGGAAAGTCATAATCCATTCCATGGTTCCAGTCACCACCAACCAGATATCATTAACCATCATTAAACCATTATTAACCATAGATTAACCATTGATTAACCATCATTATCAACCATCATTATTAACCGTCATTATTAACCATGATTATTAACCATGATTATTAACCATCATTATTAACCATCATTATTAACCATGATTAACCATCATTTCACCATCATTAAACCATTATTAACCATGGAAATCTATAGCTATTCTCCCCCTGGTCCACCTGGCCCAACCAGATTCCTTGATCCCGCCTAAGCCTGTGAAGAATGCCAGCGCTGGCTTGATGGCGTCCTTTCTCGCCTGCGCGAGTAGAGGACGTTGATTTTTTTTTTGGGCGCCGGAGATGGAGACCTTTTGTTGGAGACTTAGAGTATGGAGATATATTGGGAAACCAACCATTTGTTTTATGGAGAGATATTAGGAAACCAACCATTTTTTAATGGAGAGATATTGGGAAACCAACTAAATGAATGGATATATATATATATTATATAATTAATGTTTTTCAATTTTGGATGAAACCCTCTGGTATAATCAGCTCCATGGCTTGCTATATCCGCCAGCAACAGTTCGATGATTTTCCCAGCGAACGAAACCTCCATTTGGTTCGGCAAAGTCCCAGCTAGCCACGTTTCATTACCGGCAAGCCTACTGTATTAGTAGAAAGACACTGATTGGTTCAGAACTATTCGTTTTTGATGGTTTATAGATTAGATGGGTATGGTTTTTTGATGGGTTGTTGATGGTTTTTGATGGTTTCTGATGGTTTTTTGATCTACAGGGTACTGACATGTTTGTTGGATATGGTGGAGAGAGGATGTTGACAGGAGATATCTAGTTAGAGTCAATCCCCAAATCGTTGTGGGCAATTGTGGTGGAGATAACCGTTGAATGGACATGGCCATTGCATGCCATTGCTAATGAAGCTGATGATGAATCATGGGAAATATGCGCTATATTGATATATTGATATAATTACCCTCTGGTAATTTAACATAGCTATTGAAAATCACCATTTATAGTGGATTTTCCCATTAAAAATGGTGATTTTCAATAGCTATGTTAAATTACCAGAGGGTACACATGATTGGGGATGGCTCAAACATAGCAAAACAGGGATCCACAACGCTTTTGAAAAAAAACGCCCAATCCGAAATCACAGCCTCGGGTCTTCACCATCGATTGCTCCGCTCCATGGTGCTGGTATGATCCAGTTGTTTCACTCAACATATCTTGATATGATTCATATGGAGGTTTCCTAAGTCATGGGGGTACTCCACGACAATCATCCAAGTCCCCATGGTTTTGGGGACCCCCCATGAAAAATGACCCGCACCTCAAATACTGTCAGCTTACCAACAGCGACAACAAGAACTCACCAATCATGTAGGTTCACGATCTTCAAGGCCCGTGACAGGCGATTCTCCAAACTACCCATGACCCATGAGAACACCCTGGCCATATCGAGTCCATTGGCACCTTGGATTTGTTGTACTTGGAGTCCATCGGCGAACTTTGGCCCATGGCTTTGCCGGTGGTTGTCACCGGTCAGTCAGCAGGTCGCAGGTCTGAATTCGCAAAAAACGATGCTGGGTAAATCAACTATTTCTATGGCCATTTTCAATAGCACATATGTATAGCTGGTTGGTGGTTGACCTACCCCTCTGAAACATATTAATCAATGGTAAGGATTATCCCAGATATTATGGACAATAAAAGCCATGTTTGAAACCACCAACCAGGATATGTCTTAATCCTTCGGCGCATGTCGTTCACTCATTTCACTCTCGATCAAGTTGGTCTAAAGCATGGTCTCCTTAGGATCTTGGTCTTGTTACAAGTAACTCTTAGATTTGCGGAAGCACCAAATAGCTGATATCACAGCCCCAAGGGAAAGTCATTGAACTGTTGAGTTGCGGCTCTTCTTTTTTGGGATGAGGCTCGCTTCTGAGCTTTCGAGGCATGCTTCTGGCCATATCTTCAGCACCGCTCCACGCTTCAATGGCTGTGGCGAAGTTTTTTTCCCCCGGTGCAAAAAATCGCTGCTGAATTCCTGGAGAAATCCCGAAAAGAGCTAAACAGTTTTGGTGTGACACATACACAATGTAGAGACTATCACTATATAGTATGATAGTATGTGTTCTACATACTTGGATTCGCATCCTAATTAGGACACGGGTAATTCTTGACACTTTTTTAACCGAGTTACGGGACATATCTCATGTCTCAATGTGGTGCGCAACTTACTTTGAGTGGATGTGGCAACCCCACGCATGGTTTAACCCACATTGGGGATTGTTGATGAACATTTCCGAAAAAATAAACCCATCATCACCATCATCCCATCATCCCAACGACAATTTCCCAACATTTCCCAAGCCACTGGATTGGTTGGACAATCTTCCGGATTTTCCTTTGGGATTTTCGGATTTGATATGGCCAGGTGCAAAAATCCGTGGTGCCTCCGAAACAGCTCCAACTTCGGCCGCGGCGCTTGCAGCGTTTTCAAGGCCAAAGTGAGATACCTCGGCACGTAAGATGACCAAGACATCTGGCCCTCGCCCGGCCGTTGGGTCGTTTTATGAATCTTTAGTAGGTGTTGTAATTTTTGATTGCGTTTGATCAATTTCGAGCGGTATTTGCTTTTTTTTCAATCTTAAGTGGTTGAATCCCTCTTCAATCTCTTCATGTCTACATTGATGTTAATTACATGTTAATTACCATGTTGCAGTCAAGCAATGTCCATGCGCCGTGTTGTGCTGGAAAAATTCACCAATTTTCCATCGGATGTGAAGGACTGAACTTCCTCTTTTTTCGCGCCGAGATAGAACTCGAATCTGGTCATGACTTCATCATAGAAAGCATCTAACATATTCTAACATGGATTAGCACTATGATTCACGTGCTTTTTTTTGGTTTTTCCATGGTCATTCCCCCGTCACAACTCGTGGGGCCGCCCGGATCCGGATCCAGCTACGGGTCGCCCTGGGTGACATCCTCGCCATGCACCTCGTGCCAGAACCTGCGGCACTGAACAAAAACCACACTGGGCTAAGCAGCAAATATATAGTAACTATATGTAATCATGGTGAAAGGGGGATGGACCAAAACCTATTTAAAAAAATATTGATAAGGTTAATATATGTAATTATCCCAATACAATGTAATTATGGGAGATATCAAATGTGTATCTCATGGGGCTGTTAAGATCAAATATTGGATATATATATATATAGAACAAACTTTATATTTAGATATTTGATATGATGTTGGAATGTGTCTAACGATGTCTGAAGATAGGGTGTCTGAAGATAGGATGCTCTGCCAATATCAATACGGAAAAACCTCTGAGAAAAGATCTGAAAGATATACAAGTGCAATGCATGTGGGCTGTTGGTCTAATGGATAAGGCCTCGACCCCCAGAGCTGGAGATTCCAGGATCAAGTCCTGGACAAGTCAATCTTCTTCCACTTTGTTTGTTTGTCATCTTTTGTTTCTCAATAGATGAAACCAAAAAGCTAAAACACTAATATCTGCCATATCTTAAAATTTGGCAACTCTGACCATGTTTCTTCAAAAAAAACACAAGACTTGAGGTGTTGAGCTTTTCCCTTCTTCGACTGGAGACCCTGTTGCTTGTCATGGGAGCCTCAGTAGCGTCTCCGGTGCAGCAGTTTCGACCTGGCGAAAAATGTACAGAGATTAATGAGATTATGTATTGTACCCTCTGGTTATGTCAACAGTTTGCTATTGAACATGGCCATAGAAATAGTGAGTTTTCCCATGAAATAGATGGTGGATCTTTCCATAGTTAAGTTATGTAAACGTTGACCTGAGGGTAATTGTGATTGGGATTTTGATCCACTAGCCCATGCTGGGAATTTTGATTAAACATGAAGGAATTCGAATCAAGAGTTGCCAGGTTTCCATATCAACCAACATGGGTTTTGTGGGCCGAAACGATCCGAAACCAGGCAAGTATCAAGGTAGGCCTATCCATCTGAAAATAGGCTACAGTACCAAACTTCATCCAATGGCTTCTAATTGTCAATGTTTATCATCATTTCCCTCATGGAAATTGCAATTTTAAGTACAGTAATACCCAATTTTCAGACACAACAAACCAATGGTCATACATTGCCACAAAAAAATACATGTCATTTCCCATATCTCCATGAGCATGTTGCCACGTGAAATCTCAACGACACGCCTCCAGCAGCTTGCGAAAAACGTCCTCATTCAACTGCCGCTGCCTGGGATAGCACTGGTGTTAGCTGATGGACTTTTTGAATGTGAACTGATAGTATCTTGGTATCATTCATCAGTTATGAAAAAATCAGAGTTCATTGAATGTTACCTGATTAATGTTAACTGAATGTATCCTATTGCTGATCAAAAAAAAATCCAAGCTATTAATCAAATTGGTGTTGGACAGATTCAGCATCAACAATTCTCCTCTTTTCGCTTTCAGGGTGATTGTGCTGTCCACTTTATCTATGCGCTGAAGATTCGGAGTGACTTCTGCTTAAGATTAACATAGATAAACAATATTGGGATCTATTGGGCAATTCGGGTCATTCAATCCCAATATCCCTATATTAGATTAAGGCTATTAGGATGATTAACACTATTGGGATGTTAATAAATAATGATTGAAACTATTAATAATGATTAACACTATTAAACATGATTAACATATCAATAATGATTTTAAACATCAATAATAACTGGTTGGTGGTTTCAATCCCTCTGAAAAATATGAAAGTCAAATGGGCCTATTATTCCCAATATTTGGAAAGTCATAATCCATTCCATGGTTCCAGTCACCACCACCCAGATATTATTAACCATCATTAAACCATCATTATTAACCATCATTATTAACCATCATTAACCATCATGAACCCCCATACTAACCCCATACTATTGGGAACTTTGGGGTCTTGCGGGTCGGATCATCCGGTCCTGCCGACATCCAGCGACCGGCCTCCGTGATGAGTGATATGCCTCTGCCTTGACCAGGCTGTGCCTCGATCCATCAACTAAGCGACTAACCGTGTACCCCAGAAATGCCATGTGTTTTTTGGGTGGATTTTCAGTGTATGTATATATATATAATATAATACATATATATATATATTACAATATATATAATATATATTATATACAGTATATATATACATATAGCCGGGTTATTCTGTTATGAATATGGCAAACAGAAGTATAAACCATTCACAATGTTCATCATTTTCGTACTTTTTTACATTTTTTACAGGGGAAGCATCCCCAGTTGGAGGTTCATCCTGGAAGCCTAGGTCCATGGGATGCCACCGCTCAGGTGATTTTAATGGTGATTTCAATTAGATTAATTAGATCAATTCTCAACTTTGGATCAATTCCCAACAAATTTTTGATCAATTATCAACTTATTTACCCTCCGGTAAACTAACATAGCTATTGAAAATGACCATTTACAGTGGATTTACCCATTAAAAATAGTGATTTTCCATAGCTATGTTAGCCCGTTTACCAGAGGGTAGATGGAATTTGAAACTTGGGACAACTCAATTGGATCAATTCTCCATGTCTTGTGACGGAAGATCACCTGGTCATGGTGGCAACCTTCCAGGTACCGGCCAGCTAAACATGGCAAGCAGATTTTTTCCAGGGCTTCTTTGATGTCTCCATTTCAGGGGCGTCAAAGTGTTCTATCTCCTGAAACAACTCTTCAGAAATAATCCAATATTCCCTTTTCGCTAGTCCGTGTCATTAATCACAATCACCATCAGTCGTCCTTATCATTTTTCGTGGCTAATCATAGATTCCCGGTACCCCAAAAATAAAATGGTTCGTTCGAAAGGCAATATGTTCTCCCGTTTACTGTATACCTCACGCATATGAAAAAAAAATGTTACACTAACCCACGGATTGACCAGTATGGATGGATTGTTTGTCAATTTTCTCTACAAAGTTTCCCTCAAACAATGCCAATCTTAGATAGCCTGCAAAAAAAAAAAAACAACCCAGCTAGCAGATTTTGTGTATATACATATAACTTTCCAATCTTCCATGTGCACCACAAATCAAAGTACAATTTATAAAGCTTTCATATACATATCTGGTTGGTGGCTGAGCCACCCCTCTGAAAAATATGAGTTCGTCAGTTGGGATGATTTTCCATTCCCAACTGAATGGGAAAACATCATCCATTCCATGGTTCCAGTCACCACCAACCAGTAAAAAAAATCGAGATAAGAAAATCAGCATTTTTTTGCAGATATATCCCATGATGATAGTTTTCATATTAAATATCATGGACTTATCATGGTATCCCATGAAAAAAGTTTTCATATTAAATACCATAAAAAATCTTCATGAAATTGGATGTTTCATGGGATACCAACCAGATATATCCCATGACCTGGTTGACCCATCCACCGAGTAACTCGCCGGCCTCCCCCCCCCCGCTTGGGGCTCCACACCAAAGCATGGGAAATGTGAGACCCGGCGTCTCAAAGTCAGGATCCAACTGGAAATTCCACCATGATGCTGTGGGTCTGGTTGGTTTTTGGGGTGTTTTTTTGCGTAACCAACAAATTTTTGGTGGATTTAACCATCAAACATCTTCAAAACTGGTGATGTAACCATCAAAAATTGTGATTTAACTCACAAACATGTGGATTTCACCACCAAGAATGATGATTTAACCATCAAAACTGATGATTGAAACGACAAAAAGGGTGATTTCACCAACACAAATGGGGCCTCAACGAACAGCAATGGGGACATCAAAAAACACTGGCATGTGGTTTTAAGCAGAAATCTAGTGTGGATTAGTGTCGTATAATGCTATCCGCAAAGGGTGCGCTTGTAAACTACATGATGATATTTGATTTTCATAGGGATTCACCAGCGAAATCAGGATATTTCGCGATAGGTTCCATGGGGGATACAACCCTAAACCATCATTTTGTCAGATTACTTATCTCAGGTTTTTTTCAACATACCCTGGTTGGTGGTTTCAACCATATTGAAAAATATGAAAGTCAATGGGAAGGAATATCCCATATATTGTGGAAAATAAAACATGTTCCAAACCACCAAGCAGTTTTCCATTTAAAATCCATTTAATATATTTCAACTACCCATCCAAAATGTCATTCTGAGGGTACCCGTTACCAGTATATCAACATAGATGTGGTTATTAGCCATGGTTCCCTTGAGGAAGACGACCTACAAATGGTGGATGTTCCACTATTAAAGTACTGGAGAGGTAAATCCAGTAAACACCATCAATGACCATTCCCCTCTGGTAAACGTTTACATAACTATGGAAAATCACCACTTTTCAATGGGAAAACTCACTATTTCGACTGGGCCATTTTCAATAGCTTTTTGTATGTTTACCAGAGGGTAATCACCATCAATGAACCATTCCCAATTTTCACCCAGACCATCAGACCCATTAAAAAGTTTTTTGACAGTCAACCCCATCCAGACCTGTCGGATCCTACAGTACAAATCATAGGCCATTTGAACCTCTCCAACCTGGGCCATTGCTGAAGCATCCCCGAACGAAATGAAGCTTCATAGCTGGGAAAAGCATCTACGAATGGACAAAAACTTGCAGCCATGTCATTGATGACACCCCACTGGGCACCATGAATTTATGATCAAACATGTACCATGAACATATAAATCATATAATTTCATTAAGTTTGGGTACATACTACGGTAATCTATGGTATATGTTTACATATGGTAAACCCATACCAACATTGATTCTACATACCATCCCCCGACACTTAAATTGACCCATCTGGTTTATCGCAGGGCCAGTCTTAGATGCACAAAACCAAGGATTTCAAGATAATGTGAGATATAATTAGTAGATTCCTCCATTTACAGAAACTAAAACAAGTAATCTACATGAATCTACTCATCCAACCTTCACCCACGGGTATCTCTATGTCCATTCCGTTCTCATCACCAGAATCAGATGGGTTGATCTCAAATCGGGGAGACCCCGGGTCATCCAACTGTTTGCTTTCCAACTCTTCAACAATTGGGCTTTACTCTACCACAAAAAAGAGATATACAAACCACAAAACACACGCATATATATAATATATATTATATAATATATATATATCATTAAAAAAACAAAAAACTATAAACAAAAACGTGGTGTCTTCGTAGTATAGAACTCTACCAAAAATCTGTCTTCGCTATCCCCACTGGCCCAAGGAACGGAAGCGTGCACGTCCAACTGCCCGTACAGCATCACCACCTCCAAGGCGTTTTTCGAATTTTTCACCGTCATCTCTAGGGGTAAAATAACCCATAAATATGGGGATATCATGTTGGTTAATATATGGTTAGTATATGATATTTGGTTATCATCATGGTTAATATATGGTTTATATTTTAATGATGGTTGGTTAATTAGTAAACTACATGGTTAATATCAGAAATGATGCTTGGTTAATTAGTAAAGGGGCTATAGAACACCTAATATCAATATATAGAACGCATGTCACAGTATTTCCTCGTCACAGTTTGAAAAAACGGCTCAGCATGGCGGGGTCACCGTTTTGCTGAACTGTCGCTGTTACATCCACATGTTTTGTTGATGTAATGCCCCAGCTTCATAGTTCTTATCTGGTTGGTGGTTTCAACCTCTCTGAAAAATATTTCACCAGTCATAGTTCTTATACTTGACACTGCAGTTGTCGATATTTTCTGAACGAACTGTCGATACATGCCACACTCCAAAGCATCAACTGTTACCATCAGCGCTACCCTGCCTCTCTCCTGCTCTCCGCATTCGCGGCCTTTCAGGCTGAAACAGCTCTTTTTTGATCTGTTGCAGCTACTGTGCTCCTCCTTTTTTTCCTCTTAAAAAAATACCCTCTGGTTATGTAAAAATAGCTATTGAAAATTGCCATTCATAGTGGATTTACCCATCAAAAATGGTGGATCTTTCCATGGTTATGTTAGCCCGTTTACCAGAGGGTACATACTCTTTCCAGACAAAAATATATTAAGATCATTTAAGATCCACCAGCCAAATTTTTGAATGCCTCCCCTCCAAAGCCAACACCCAAAAATGCAGGTCGAAGAGGACATTCCTCTGGTGGTATCAACCCATCCCAAAAAATCGTCCATACCAAACTCACTTGGTTTCAGGCCACGATAAAATCCAAACAAAAAACCCTAAAAACATCAACCTAAACGATGATTTGCTTGGTGAGGCAGTCCCAATTTCTTCCAGAATATTCAGAATATTGGTAAACATCCAGTCATCTTGAAGGTTTTATTTGATTCTAACCCCATGTGTGGATGCTTAAATCATCTCAAATACCCGTTGTTGTTGGTGAACACACAGTTTTGTTGCTGGTTAAACCACAGTTGTTGATGATTTGATGCTTAAATCCCTATTTTTCATGGTTAAACAGCCACTTTGATGGTGAAACCTCTGGCTCAAAATCTCCTTTTTCTTACAGGGGCCTTGGCGCGGCGGTTTGAGCGAACTCCGGGATTCCTGAGGACAGGAATTTTTGTATTTTTGTGGATGGACGTGGGATGTGGTGATTCATAGTGGATTACATAGCTGTGTTAGTTTACCAGAGGGTAATCATTATCAACCATATATTAACCTTCATTCACATTCATTCACCACTATAAACCACTATAAACCATGATGGATTACCCTCTGGTAAACGTTTACATGACTATGGAAAGATCCACCATTTTTGATGGGTAAATCCACTATTTCGACTGGGCCATTTTCAATAGCAAACTGTTGACATAACCAGGCCGGGTATTCCACAGTGAAATTCTGGCGTGATTCACTACGACCAGTACTTCTGGATGGACTTGGTGAAAAAAAAGAATGTTCCATTAGTGAATCATCCTGTATAAGAACATTCACCAATGGAACATGGAGATTATTGATATGGATTAGCACGACATGTCTGTATGTATAAGATGGACTATGACTATAGATATGGATGAGTTGATTCATTAGTTGTTTCATCCATCCATTAATTTATTTATTCACGTGTTCATTCATCCAATAGTTTAACTATTCAGTTTTGGATTAACACGTTTTATAGAAACATAAGCGGACCATATCCCGATTTCCAAATTCCCATATCCCAATCTGATCATACTATCACCATATCATTAGTTTGATATCAAACATCACCAACAATAATCCCGTAATTTATATAATCCATTCATTGTATCATTAAGAATTCATGATTGTTTCATTGTTTAATATGAATATCCCAATATATCAACATGGATTATCTCATATCAATGATTATTGTAAATTGTAATATTCATATGAATCATATCACCATATCTACAGTCCATCTTGGACATACACAAATGGTTATATGGCAATCCATCTTAGTAATCACCATATTCCACTGGGAAAAAGACATCTGTGGATGGAAACATTGTACCAATCTTAGTGCAATTCTGTGCCCAACAAGGAATAACCATTGATGACTTTTGGATTGGGTACGATGGGCCCTGGGGGGGTAAAATCATGATGGCCAAGTCATGATAATTTGGAGTGTCCATCAATACCAAATCCAGCCAATGGAGAATTAATCCAGCCATCCTTCCATCCAGTAACTAGGAACATAAAATGACACTATGATCCAGGCCAAGCGGCTATTGGTCAAAACCCTGGCACCGTGATGTGAACCCCAACATAGCTGGTAAATGGAGGTTCATCCCATTAGAATTGATAATAATAGGTTTTGACCCATTTTCAAGTGAATTTTGGGACAACTCGAGTTTCACCGTACCAGCTGTTCGCCAAACGCCAAACGGATATGGCCCTGTCGGGGCTCATCCGGACTCGAGGACCCGACCTCCGCAGCAGTTCCAGGCGAAACTCACCGTTCGCCTGCCGCAGCCAGCTTCGCCGAACCGGTTGACTCTTCAAACATTGTCCAACATGAAATGTGGGGATTGACGACTTCGAGTCACACACAAATGATACAAGGAGTCATGTGGGAAGGTACATAGCTTCAATAATTGATAAGGTCATAGTGAATATCCCCAGAAAATATGGCCTTATATGGTACAGTACCTCTATTTTAGGATCCTGAAGATCTCCCATTGATGATATCCATGCCTGGTTTGGGGCTGGTGGTTTTCGTCATTGCAGTTCTTGGGGATTCCTGCGATTCCAAGGCACCACAACCACCCACTGCAACAGTCCCTCTTCGAGCGACTCTTGACGAGCAACAGTAAGTATTGTAACTAATGCAACTATGATAGGGAACACCCAAGAATACCATAATATCTGATGTGATCTAATATTATAAATGATGAACATTGACAATGGCAATACAAGCAACTATGATAGGAACAACATGGGAAGACAACCAAGAGATAATTGCATTGCAGCTCGGTTCATCGCATTTTCCACATACAACAATGGAAGGTAACAAAAAACATGACCCGTGTTCACCACGTGTTTACCCACAAGAGGGGGTTCTTCAGTAATGGGGGATCCCCAGTCGTCACCTGCAGGTTGTTTCAATCTTAAGTCATGGTCATCCGATGTCATCCCTGACGGCTGGATGATGCAAGGGGTACTCCCATGACTTACCCTCTGGTTATGTCAACATAGCTATTGAAAATAGCCATAGAAATGGTTGATTTTCCCATTCATAGCATGGTGGATCTTTCCAGTTCGTTATGTTAGCCCGTTTGCCAGAGGGTAATCCATCATGGTTTATAGTGGTTAATAGTGGTTAATAGTGGTGAATGAAGGTTCATATATGGTTGATAATGATTACCCATCAATGGATGGCCCATCAACAGGCAGCGCACAGCGCACGGATCTGATTTTGACTCGGATGCGATCGGGATGAACGCGTTCCTCGATGGTGCCATCGTCCTGGTGGCCATGGTGGCCTGGTGGGCCATCATCCCAAACCCCCCATCATGGGGATATATGGGGATGAGAATTCTCATTGGGTTTTGCTCATGATCAATTTTTCAGATTCTGTTTGGCTGCCTTTTGACCCAAGGTCCATCATCTATACTATAATCTATACGTTTCAACTGGTTTGGATAGGCACTTTGGAATTCCTGAACCCCCTCCAAATGATGGATTATAAGCGCTGGCTTCCTATTGAATTTGGTTACAGTACAGTATGTTACAGTTACACTCACTGTTTTTTTTGTATCCAGCAACCATTGTTGAATTAAAAACATTCCCATAACTATCCATTGGTTGGTGGATTACTGGATTACAATCTTGCTCCATCCCCTGTGTGTGAAAAACTGATCACACCGAAGACAAAACTATCCAACGCTTGTGAAGCTTGAGCATTAAGCCAATACAAAATCATACAAACTCCTATACAAAGACATAAGAAACATAAGCAAGAGCAAGAGAATTGGCCATTTATGATTGCAGGCATCTGAACATAAGCGCTAAAAAAACCGCCATCGTCACCACAACGCGCTGCTGGGATGGTCCTCGTAGCACACGTTCACCTGAGTAAGGCTTCCCCAAAAAAATACGAAAACAAAAATAAGTCATGAAAGGAACCATTGGAACCATGTTTTTTTTATGTGTTTTCGAGATGTACCTTTTGACCTTCTTGGCGACCATTGTGGCTTTGATGTTTGGATGAGGTCAAGCCCCAGGACATGTCCCTCATATTCGATTCACATTTGAAACCCTTCAGCCTCATTCTAACTGACAACATTCCAACTTACCCTCTGGTAAACTAACATAACTATGGAAAATCACCAGTTTTTATGGGAAAATCCACTATTCCTATGGCAATTTTCAATAGCTTTTTGTATGTTTACCAGAGGGTAACTCACTCCATCAGCATCCATCATCCATCCATCATCCATCCATCATCCATCAGCGCGCCACGTGGCGAAGTGGTCCTCGTGAACTTTCACCACGAAGGCACTCATCCACATCACCCCGTCCAGCGTTCCGCTGCTGGCGTCCTCCGGGTCCCCCAGGTCCGGGAACCTCGGAGAATGCATGCGTTCGGCGGGGGACTTTTTCGTTGATTCCAAGGTTAAAAAAAAAACCATCATCCCCAATAGACAAATAGTGCAAGCTCCAGTAATTCTATCAAGCATCTATATTCCAAAGCTGGTTGGTGGTTGATACAAAACCCCTCTGAAAAATGTGAGTGAAAGTCAGTCGGGATGATTAGTCCATTCCCAACTGTTTCTGGAACAATAAAAATAGTTCAAACCACCAACCAGTATAATACCTAGATAAGAACATCAGCAAATTTGCATATATGATGAATTTGGATGTTTCATGGGATACCAATGATGTGAGGATTTCTGGGGAAATGGAATGTCTAGGGTTTCTTTCACATTGGGAAATTCTTGACTTTTGCCATCTACCAGGGGGGTGCGTTACTCGAATCACCCTGGCTGATTACTCGTCGCAGGGTTGACAGCAAGCGCATCCATCCATATTTCTGGGTTTCCATAAATCTGGGTAAATTACAATTTTTCACTAACCTGAATTAAGGCCATAAAAGGGGATGATGTCCCTTATTAACCATGATTTACCCAGATAAATGGGATAATTTTCAAAATAGATGGATTTTTTTAGGGACAATCCCTATGTTAGATGGATGATTCCGGTTGGTACCCCTGAAAAACAGGAATTCCTCCATCTTGTTGATCGCTCGTTTTTACGATGTTAAACGCTATGATCCTTGAAAGATACCCCTATTCCATGAATGCAAGACTGGTTGGTTAATGGCTATTCCAATGACATGAATTAGCTCCCAATCCCTATTGAACCAGCTGGACCAGCTGGATTTATAACCCACAAATAATCAGCCAACCATCATTTATCACTTAAGCCCCATAGTTTTTTGTGGTTAAAGCGAATAAATACAAATGACTGCACAATTCCTATAGTGAACAAAAATCCAGTCCCAATATCTCTCAGTTTTCATACCTTAAATCCAACTTTTCCTGGGACGAATCCCCCATGGAACCCATTCCTTGGCACCATGTGTAAAGCGCCAAGCAGCGGCAGCCAGGAATAGCCCACCTGGGAGGTCAGGGATAGTACATGTGTGTTTGCAAAAACAATAAATTACCATTTCTGGTGCTAGTATCATTACTTTTATCATAATCTTCATTATGTATGTACTGTATTAATTCTTGTGTACATATTGTTATATAATTTATTGTATATGTATATTGTGTGTCTATGTGCACAGTATACAAAACATACAAATATACATGTGGTTCATGTGGTAAACCCAATAATGAACAGGAAATGTTGAAGGTGAATACTATGAATACCCAGCTATTTTCAGTAAAATTGGGGATGGTTAATGTAAATATGCATGTATATGATTGTATATGTTTGATTTGCATACTTTTTGCAGACCATGGTATACTTATGTTTGCATAATGCAAGTGTTGGCAACCATTCATCGATTTTCATGTCCCATCATTGGGGTGTCCATGTTGCCATGATGCCATGTGAAGTCGAGGTCATAAACATCACTCATAGGCTGTGAATCATTCCCAGTTCTGCCCGATCTGAAGTAATCTCTTCCCCTCACATTGAACACCCCCCAGAAACCATGGTTTAGTAGGGAATTTAAAGTTGGTACCGTAGTACCATTTATGTAGGGGGTGTTTAATTTGGGGGGGATGAGATTACTTATTTGTTTTCCCAAACTCACAGCTGTAGTATGATGCTGTCAAGCTGACGATCTGTTGGGTCAGAAATGGGCAATGACCAAAATCTGCGGGTCCCCTTGGTGAAATCCTCACAACTTGACCATCCAAAGTCATCACTGTTGGAATATGTTGGAATAAACAGCCCATATAAAATCATTTCTAAACGATAAACAACGACCACAAAAATCCATCATTTTTTGGAGGAACCCTGAAAGTAAATACCAGCGTCGAGGGGCCAAAATGGGGTCCCCTTTCTGCCAGGGATAGGACTCGGCTGGCGTGCCCAGCACATCCTGATCTGAGGCAATGAGCTGATCAAACATGGGAACATCTGGCCATTTGTTACATGTGTTACTTTTCGCCATGGAAAGATCCACCATTTTTTAAGAACGGTAAACCCAGGTAAACCATTTATTTCGATTAGGGCCATCTATACCATGGCAAACTGTTCGTCATATCCAGAGGCTAAATGATGTTTCCATTCACCAAAATCAACATGTTCCAGCCATGTTTCATTACCAGAGCATTAAACAGATCATGATAGTGATGGGAATGATATCTTTTAACATCTTTTAACCATGATTAACCATCATTATCTGCAGATATCTGGAGATTATCCGGAGATATCATTGGCATAGTCGTCCATGGGATGATCAACAATGCGGGTGTCGGACATTCCAATCGATTGGAAAGATGTGTCAATGACATCATGAACGTAAAGAATAGACATATAAATGGACATTCATGTATAGTATAATGTGTATTACGTCTATTATTTTTTTCACCGACTTTTATTTTTGATATGGATAGACACTCTTTAGAAGTGCCAAAACCCTGTACGCATCTACCGGTAAACGTATGTTCATCCCCACAAAAATAGCCTCGCAGTAAGGTACAAGGTGCCGTTTACAATAGCGAAGTTGGCCATTGGTTTATAAGTAGATTAACTATGGTTTATGCTATGCAGATCCATAGTTAATGGATTTATAAACCAACAAACATAAGCGGGATCCATAAGCTAACGGTTGGTTCATAAACCCACTAAACTTTGGATCCCCATTCATAAAGAACCACTTGGTTTGTGAACCCATTAATAAAACCCTTACAAACTGGTGACATGGTAAGTTGGTTTATAATGTTTATAAACCCATCATTAGGCTTTGAATTAACTAGTTGGTTAGTTCGATGTATCTACCATAAACCAACGTGAAACCATATGATCCCAACCCATTCACTAGTTCGATATATCTACCATAACCATATAGTTTTGTTTATATAATCTTATAAATATAATATGATCCCAAACCCATTATCTGGTTGGTGGTTTCAACCCCTCTGAAAAATATTAGTCAAATGGGATGATTCTTCCCAATATATCGAAAAATATAAAATGTTCCAAACCACCAACCAGTCATAGTTCTTATACTTGACACTGCAGTTGATTAGCTATTCAACCACCAACTAGTTCTATTAAACCAACAACCAGATTATCATGGTGTCGTTAATTCCCCCTGTTGTCCCCTTTACGCCGAGCATCGTCCGTGTATCTCAGCCTTCGCGCGCGCGACGGGCAGCCGCCCGTGCCGCGCAGGTCTTGCAGGGCGTCGCCGCCGTCGCAAGCCGCGACGGCTTGCGACGACTGGGTGTAGAAGGCGAAGAGGTGACCACCTGGGGCCCCAAAAAATTGTAAAAGGTTGTTGAAACCAAGAAAAAAGTGGATGTTTATGGTTTTTTTATCCAACATATGATGGTCACCCATACTATCCAAACCATATAATGTGTATGTTTCCCTACCTTGCTGTTTTGTTCAAAAGATTGAACTTGCTTGATTTTCATGAAACCCGTATGAAACCGCATTTTTGATGGTAAAACTGTCATTTGCTCACATTGTTTGATGGTTGATATCTCCACATCCCCAAGCATTCATTCCCATCATATGTTTCCTACTTCGCATGGGATTAGATTCAACTTCCCATATTAACTCCCCATGTTTCCTGCTTAACTCCCCATTTTCCCACATGTTTGATGGCTAACCCCCCATATTTTCTGTGAATCTTCATAAAATACCAAGTGTTTGATTGTTAATTCCCCATGTTTCCATTCTTTTTTACATGAAATTCAATCCCTCTATGTCCTACTTCACCATATGTTCCACCATATTCTCTTTATGTTTCCATATGTTCCTTATGTTTCCTGAAAAAAGTCCCACTCCGAAAATTTTCCCATCATTTTCCCGCCATTTCACCATTTTTCCCATAGTTTTTCCCAAATTTTCTCCATCCCCACGTGGTGTCCCCGTTGGTTCCCAGCCACTGGGCCGCCAGGAGGTGCTCAGGGTCAGGCCACCTTCACAGCGGACCGCCAGGCGGCAGCCGACGGAAAGCTGATGTAGCGCCGAATAACTCACCACCTTGATGGAGCAGGGATCCCTTGGGGATTCACATATTGGTCACCAGAGGGTTTAATGACCAACCAACCAGTGGTGATTCATGGCGATTTTCCATGGGATTTATGGTGGTTTAATGGAATCTAATGGGATTTACTCTCTGGTTATGACTAACAGTTTGCCATGGTATAGATGGCCCATAGAAATAGATGGTTTACCGTTCTTAAACATGGTGATTTTCCATGGCGAACTGTTAAATAACCAGAGGGTACTGTCATAGTGGTTAAATAATGGTTAATGATTAATGGTGATTCATCATGGTTAATGATGCTGAGTGATGGTGAATAATTCATGGTGAATGGTTAATACTGGTGATTAATCATGGTTAATGATGGTAAATCAATTTACCATCATTAACCATCATTAACCATCACTAATTGACGGTTAATGATCTCCCCACAAAAATACTGGTAAATTGATGATTAATAACCATGAATGGTTAATTAATGAACCAACTGATGGTTAATGATGGTTAATGATGGTAATGATGGTTAATTGATGATTCTTTAAATAGTCAATCATGGTGATGAACCATGGATTTTTGTTGGGGATAGATCCAAACAATGGATGGAACTGACACATGCCAGGAATCCCTGATTCCAATTAGGAGGTTTCCAGCGGAAAATCAAAGGAAAATAGAGGAAACAACAGCTATAAATGGAGGGTTTTAATATGTTTTAATGGGATAATCCTTGATAAGTGCTTAATGATGGTGAATTCATGGGTAATAAGTAGTAATAATGATTAATATGATTAATAATGGTGAACACTGGTGAAACATGGCAATGAATGTACCCTCTAGTAATCAAATCTAAATCCAGGTTTCCATCGGAGTTGTTCTGATTTGTTGTGTTGTCGATGGTGAATTTTGATGGTGGCCAAATATTGAATAATATTGGTAAGGTTTAAAATTTGATTATGTGATATATTGGCAAATTGGATGCTGATTTTGTGGCAGGATTCTTGAGGGGACTTCTGACACTTTTGGCAATTTCATGGGACTGTATTGGATGGTAGAAACATCCTTAACCTCGATGATCCAGTCCCAATACGTCCCAACACCCAACACTGATTTGTTGGGCATAAGAAAAGGATGATTTCCCAACGTACCCGGCCTGGTAAACTAATAGCCTCTGGTAAACATACAAAAAACTATGGAAAAATCCACCATTTTTAGTGGGTAAATCCACGGTTTCTATGGTCATTTTCAATAGCTTTTTGTATGTTTACCAGAGGATATTTTATCAACATCGGGGATAACCCGAAAAAAAACATATCACACATTGGATGGCCGCATCTTACCCGGATGGCCCTAGGCCCCAGGTTTCCAACAAACCCAGATACAGGTGTTCATATGAACTTTGCTTGTAAATCCCATGCATTATCTCAGTGATATCCCCATGTTTGATGCTTACAATGAATTGTTCCATATTTTTTCGTTGTTTTTTGGTCACCAAAATTTCTGGCGCAAGAGGCTCGACAGCCGTCTTGGAGTCCCTGAAGCATCTTGCCTACGCTGTGAGATGCTGCAGCAGGCGTCCCGTCAGTTGGGATCATGACGACAAATCTGGCTGAAATTTCATGATCAATATATATATATATAATATAATATATATATATATATATGGCAGTGTGTCAAAACCTTGTACCCCTGGTGAACATCAAAATAGCTGGTAAATGGATGTTCATCCCACTAAAAATGGTATGTATAGGTATTGATCCATAGCCATATATATATATATATAAATCACATTTATTTCAGCCAGAGATATTCCTGATCAAAATATCAATGAATTCCCAATAATTATCAGGATAAATCATATAATTCAAAAAAAATATATTGGGAACATATCAATATCAATGAATTATCAATGATTCTCATTCCCAAACAATCAATCAATGCTGGAAATATCAACAAAACATGACTCACCTTGGGCAAAGGAACCAAATTCGAATCCCAAGAGTGGGACTAGAACCAACCAAGAAAAGGATACTTGAAGTATCACACAAATATCATTACTATATTTGTGCGAAAAAAAACGTAAATAATTACTTTTGCACAGGAATGGATGCCAAACAAAAAATGAATCAAACAATAATAATTTACCAACGACAACCATGGGAACATACTTACGCAAATTCAACATCAGGTTCACAATAATAACCTAAAACTGGGTTTGGTTCAAAATAATTATGGCATTTTTCATCAGGAAAATTGATGATAAATTATGGGATGGAACGGGGTCAACATTTCCAAACAAGAACTGCATGCATACGGAAAAAGGGCCCAAACATAAACCACAAAATTCAGTTTGTGTTCGCCACTTCAACCAGAAATGATCCTCAGCGGGGTGACAACACAGCACCAAACAATTTGTGCACACAATACATGAATAAATACGAATACACATATTGGGTGTTACGGTCCACGACTCGATCCGTATACCTTTGCAATTTGTCGTACGTTCATAACATTCCATGACTTGTACGTTTACAAGTACGTGCAATACAGTGTAATACCTGAGTTGGTTGCGGGACTATAAAGAAAACATGTCAGGAGGTATGTTGTGCCCATTGTTTTCCCATGCAACATATCTCAAATATATGATATGGACATGTTTCAACATTTGGAACTGCACTCCATCCGGTGTTTTATCAAAAGATTCTGAGGCATCCCCCTGCTGAGACAAACCAGGGTTTCAAACAAACCAAGATCTGGGGATGGGTGAAACATGGTGAAACGATGTTTGGGTGCCCAAAGGACCAACAGTTCATATTTTTTCCATTTTTTGACCCATAGTTACCACTCATTATTGCCAACAATGAACAGATTTACCACGAAAACATTTGGTTGTGGATCCATGCTTGCAGTACCATGCATGTAGGGGGATGAACATATATCACCAGAAAAAAAATGGATGCGAAAACAAAAAATCCATGGGCTTTGACCCACGGCCAGTGGCCTGCTTCCCGCTGCAGTTCCATGGGGAGACACACTTCCAGTACAACAGCAGCCGCCTGCTGCAACATAGTTTCCTGTGTCTACAATGGCGGCTGCCACATCTGGCATCACAGGGGGCTGATCAACAAACCGGAATGCCTAAAAGTGGGGAAAACTTCCCAAAACAATATCACTATTTTGGGGGGAACCCTTTCGAGTTAATAGTCAAGATTTGTTGGTCCGGCGTTGGCGCTGATGACCTCCAAATTGGGTGGGCTGAAATTATTTGCAGAAAAGCGCCCTGATTTCAAACAAACGCCAATGAAAGGCACCCGGCAAAGCATGGATGTTTATGGGGGGCCCGCCGTATTGATGCTGATTGACTGTCTGCGTTAAATTACGATGGTTTTATGTTTCTTGAAGGGCTTGGCGCTGCGCTGCTGTTGCCCGGTGTCTTGCCAGTTGCGCATGGCCACGATGCGAATTTCACATGCAGAGGGGTGGAAACATAGGGTGACGAAGCTTCACACAGCTCTTTCATGCTCTTTCACTGTTTGCAACCTCTTTTTCTCCCCTAGGCATAATGAGCGTCCCCTTCGTCAGCCCATCGAACCAGCTGATCATGATGGGCCAAAGTCTGACAAATGAAAACTAACTAAAAGACTACAGGGGACCACCTTGTACACACCATGCCTAAATTGCAAACCAAACGCAGAGGCGACATCCGCTGCCAGATTTTTGAAGCATCTCGGGCGAGAAAGATCTGTAGTTTTTTTTGACTAGCTTCCACTGGGGCTCCACACTAGGAAACTTAACTTTGGTTCTGGAGGGAATTTGCATTTGGGTTCCGCTTAGGGGGTTTTAATATACTATTTGTGGGGCACATCATCGTGGTTTCTCTGCCGTGCTTCTGCTTTCGGCAAGGACATCTATTCATTGAGCCATGACATAGCCATGGCCGCAACAACAACTGGTCTGACAGATCAACTTGATGGGTCTATGTCGAGTTTTCCGCGCTGGAGACCAGTTAAGTTGACCGGAAATTGACCCCTGTTGATCCACATCATCCACAATTCACATGGGAGCTGGTACCAAAGCTACAGCTAACCGGCCATGCGCATCCAAAAACTGGGATTCAGCCATCAAGGATGGTTGAACCAGCAATAACTAATAAAGTATACCCGGCCTGGTAAACACACAAAAAGCTATTGAAAATGGCCCAGTCGAAATAGTTGATTTACCCATTAATAGCATGGTGATTTTCCATAGTTTTTTGTATGTTTACCAAAGGGTATATACGTAATACTACGTGCCTTGCAAAACAAGTTGAGTCTTGGGGGTTTGTGATCCCTAGCACCAAAAAAAACACTATGATTGGTGTGGCTCCAACGATCCAGAGGATCCAGGTGTCCCAGCCATGATTTCAGGCAACCCGGCGCTGGATTTTTCAGCGTAAGTTAGATACTCAAAACTACACAACTCAAAATTGGATGCAAACAATTGTCTTCCTAAATTGATTTATATATATATATGTTGTGTGTATATACAAAATACATTTAAGAAAAACATATATAAATGTCTATACACATATTCTAAACATCCCGTTTGGGACAACCCGTGTGCATTGTTCTATCGATTTCGAGTCAAAGCCTTCTGGTAATTTACAGAGCTATTGCAAAAGGACCTATGTAGATCGATGATTTACCTATTAAAGACAGTCATTTTCTATAGTTATGCAACAAATTGCCAGACCCATGTTTAAATCTCTCTAGTATCCACTACATACCATTAAAGCCCTATTGAGTCACTATTTTTGTTGCATATTTTTTCAACACTTTATCATCTGGCTGTGGATCAAGACTACATCAACCCTATATCAACCAATCGACCACAAATAGCATCATTTTCCTTTGTTAAATCATGTAAAAAATCTCAACAAAAACATCTCCAAGTCATCCCTTCGTTCTCGGGCCTAACCATCCCTTAACCATCCCTAACCACCGCGCTCCGGCGTGTCGAACAAAGAGCCGCAGGCAAAGTCGCAACGGCACGTCGTCTGCAGATCCAGCAAACGACAAAACGTCTCGTCTTCCTCGTCTTCGACTCAAAACAGGGCTGAAAAACAGCTTCGACAAACGCATTGTAAATGATGCCATGATATTAAATCGGAACAGAACTGGGACATAAATAGAGTGTGTATATATATATATATGGATTTGGAAGTTATAACCAACAACATCATTGCAAAGATCAACATGGTATGATATGATATGTTTAATCAGAAATCAAATCGTATAATAAAACTGTCATTAACTATAAGTTGTGCCTGGAGTTTCAATAACAATGGTTTATAAATTGGTTTATAAGTTCAATAACTCTGGTTTTTCTTTGGGACACCCTCCACTAATCAAACATGGCTAGGTGGGACCTCCGCTTTGCATCTGCGCATTGAAATGGGAACATCATCAAGGTATCTTGGAAGATTTCCAGCAAGACTTCAACACACCTGGGATTGTCATAGCTGTTCCCATCAACAAATGGATAAATGCTATGTAAATTATCTGGGTAAACATCATAATTATGGGTTTCTGGTTAATTTTAATCTGGATAATGTTTATGGATACATGTATCTGTTAATCTTAATTATCATATTTCACTCATCTGAATAGTTCGGGCCATAAAAGGGGATGATTTCCCGAATCCTAACCATGATTCCAGGGTTCGGTCGCGACGTGAGGTCGTTATAATTTACTCAGAATTGTCACGTTTCCAACCATTAGTTCACCATTAATTCACCATTAGTTAACCACTAGTTCACCATCATTGGACCATTATAATAGTTTATCATATTATCATCAGGATGCACCCTTTAGATTTATTAGATTTGAACTGGATGAATGGACAAACATGATCAGTCCTGGAAGTCATGGGATGGATAAACATGGCAGTTGCTGTGTTGTACCTGTGTTGTTTTAGCACAGATATATGATGTTTATGTGCTTCACGAAAGAGGAACCACTTAGAAACCATCTGATGTGGTAAACCCAATAAATGATTTATCCCCAACCTTATCACAAATGGATGGTAAATCATTACCCATGTTGGTTGCCTAATCACTGTCCATCTTGGATACTGTAACTTAAAGAACAGGTTTCTCAACAGGCTAGTAAATATCATTAAATATCCACATGTATAGTACATGTATAGTACATGTATAGCACAATACCTTAAAGTATAACCAGCCAACATTTGCATTTTACATACGGCGAGCGAAACTTGCTGCTTCGGGTACCACTGGTCTCTGGGACGGGGATTTATGGGGGATGAAAATCCCCAGATCTCATAAAAATGGGGGGTGTCCTACAAACCCGGTGGTACGGAGATCGAAGTAAGCAACAACCGACCCCTCAACCCTCTTTGGCAAAAAGGGCCTTAATTGGACATCGATTCTCCCAACCAATTCCGAATGATATCGCAGTGAAATCACCGTTGAAGTCTCATCAACACCACAGCCAATTTTTGCCACCGCCCCACCCCGACCTCCCAAATCGTCCAAAAGTTATGTTGGAATCATTTTTTTTGCCTATGAATAAACTCAATCCCAATTTTATCAATATGTTTACTGTACTCAGTACTCCAAAATTCCCTCGAACTGGCCCAAAAAAACAGCTCGATGATTTTATTTCACACACAAAACAAACATGATCACTTTTGCCTATAGGCATCCAATCCCATTCAATCCCAATATCATTGCGGGTTCCAATCACATCCTCGCGGTGACATTGACTTTACACACCATCCCAAAACGGATCTAATACAACAATTTTTCATCATTTTTCCAGTTTCCACATGGTTTCCCACCAAAAAAAGAACAGCACATCTCCATACATCTCCATGTTTGCCATCATTTTTCCCATGATTTTCATCATTTTCCCCAGCTTTTCCATGGTTTTCCCATGGTTTTCCCCACATCTTCACCGGCCACACCCCACCCCACCGGTCGTCCTCGTAGCCGAAGCGCTCGGGCTGCGCCCGGTGCAGCTGCTGCAGCGCCTGGCGCGCCAGGCGCCAGCGCGACGGTGCCAGCTCCACACCGTAGACGTGGCGCGGCGTCGGCGTCGAAAGGAAGAGCTGCAGGGCCACCTTTCCGGTGCCCATACCTGGGATGATGAGAAAGGTTTGTATTATCAATGGATTGGTTTAAGGGAAAATCTACAGGAAACCATAGATTTTCCCATTAAATATAGGTTTTTCGGTTTTTCCTGTAAATTTTCCCTTAAACCAATCCAGTGATATTAATAATCACATGGGATATTAGCATGATATTATCATATGGGTTTATATTATTTCTCATCTATATTAATGGTTTATATTAATATTAGATGAGATATTAGATGGTAGATGGGATATTATATGATATTATCATGGGATATGATCATTATTAACCCATGATATTAGATGGGATAACCCATTATAGTAGATGAGAAAGGTAGCCCTGGAATATATATATATATATAATGGGATATGATGATTATTAGATGGGATTATATTAATACTAGATTATATATTTTAGATATATTAATATTAGATGGGATATTACTAATAATATGTAAATAATAATATTCCATTAATATAGATGAGAACGGTGGATATTATCATTATTAATATATATATATATACATATTTTGTAGATGGGATGGGATTCACCTTTACTGTTGAGGTATATTTATGGGAATCATGCCTTAAGTGGTCAGGATGAATAAACAAGTTACATGTATATGGGATGATAAATCTACAGTGTATATATATATATAGATTATAATAATATACATAAGTAAGTCAATAACTTGAAATAAACAATTAAATACATGAATTCATCATGAATATGGATGATATGCCCATGCCTTTGGATGTTCATTGAAAGTTGGTTGTGGCCCATTTTTTCGAATGAAACATGTACAGCGCAGTCAAAGCGCAGTCACACTCTGACTCCATTGGGAGATGAAACCAACATGGTTCACTGGGCCAATCATAGGGATATGGGCAAGCACTGGAAAATCAAGTCGCAACCATCAAAATGATGAAATGTTGAGACCCAGTATCAGCTCACAAATTGATGGTAGTCTCAAAGACAAACCCCGTGTTGGAACAAACCCAATGTGGCTGGCTAGCTGGTTGATGTTCTGTATCATAGTTCAATTGGGAAAGGTCAAGCAATTTGGGCAAGTTCAACTGTGGAAACTCCCCTTCCAAAACGCGGCTTTTCCGAAATGGCATGACTTTTCACTTTTCCAAAAACAGCTGTGTGACCCAGAGCGCCCAGCCCACCGAAATTCGTCCAAGATGCCGAGTTCTAAAATTGGACCTTCCAACTCTTGGTCCTGCGGCTGGGTCCATCTTTCCGTACCCGAAAAACAATCGGATTAAGTCGTCTCTGTCTCTGGCAAAGCCAATAGTAAACCTCTGTTGGGGATGGTTTATACGCAAATTCATGTTGAAGAATTTCATGTTGAAGAATTTAAAATTTAGATTCATTCAACTTCTAAAAACATGGACGCAACTATAGTGAGACAAATCAAGTATAATTGCTCGCATCAAGCTACACATATATTTTTGTTAGCGTCATTCCGTTCGTCCTCATACCGGCTTTCATCCAGAAAAGAAACAACTTGGATCCAGACCTCTCCCAGGGAAAACCGAACATGTTTCACCTGTTGGTTGTTTCACCCCAACAAAATCGTCTATTAGGGGGCCGTCACCCCATCTTGGAAACAAACATCGGACAAACATCGAAACGCACCAGCCAGTTCATAGATATATATAATGATATATATATATATATATTACATTATAAATATAATCTATTATCTTATATATAAAAGAACATCATATCCTATAATTATATATATATGATATCATGTATGATTTTTGTCCAACAATGGGGCTATTCCACTTTGGAAATCCCCAATGACAAGCCACAGCTTGGGGATGGTCAGTCACATTCCTCGCAAAGAAAAACACATAGGCAGTCGTAATATATGCCTGTTCATGGCAACAGATTCAAGTATCAAACTATCCAGCCAAGCTGACTATACTATATATATAATTATATAATATGATAATATGCACTATAATATATCTCATATTATATATACAGCACATAGCTAGCCTTGTCACGTCAGTGATTCAGTTTCACTCCTCGAAGAAGGCTTCAGCCAAACGGGCCACGCCTTCAGGTAGCAGTTCACCTTTTGCCGGGACAATGTCAGCAAAAGAGAAGGGGAAAACAACGGCGAAACATGACCTAAACCGTGGGGAAACATGAAAAAATGAGGAAAGAAAAACAAGATAATTATGATAAATATGATTCTGATCTGATTATATGATGTTTTTTTGGAACTCATATGATCATAATATGATGATAATTAATAATTAATTATGATGATAATTGATCATTATTATGAAGAATCACGATTATGAAGGTTACAGTATAATTACCCTCTGCTAATTTAACATAGCTATTGAAAATGGCCATAGAAATAGTTGATTTACCCATTATATAAACATGGTGATTTTCCAGTTCGCTATGTAAACGTTTACCAGAGGGTTATAATGATGGCCATCCATTCAAACATGTCCTGCTCCAGCGATCCATCCCCAGATGCTTCAAACTGGCCCAGTCCTGTCGGCCCACAACTAAACTAACAGCCAGGCGACCGTAGAGTAAGCTGCTTCCATCTTCCAACACGCTCTGCACATCCGCAGCACCAACGGCCTGCCATATGATCCCCATCTCATTCTCCCATGGAATTTCTAATCTTGTAAGGAACTAATCTCATGTCCCATACGAATTACCATCTAATCACATGATCTCACATGATTTGATGTATGTGGTTAAACCCCCAATTTTGCTGATCAACATTCCAAATTTTGCTACCCTCTTGTAATTCAACATAGCTATGGCTCACATGACCCACTTATTGAATCTTATAAACATGATGATTTACCTATCAAACATGGCAATGTTCATAGATCTTCCACGATGGTCCTGCCATCCCAGCGCACCTCGTGTCCAGCCAGTTGGTGTCCCGTCTTTCCGAACTCCTCCCCATAGGCGGCCACCAGCAGCTCATGCCAGCCAGCGACGGAAGCGCCGGCCATGGTTCTCCGAAAATGGTTCTTCGTTGTGGGACCAACTAATTATAGTTGCAGTAATCCCCAAAAAGATCTATAGAAAAATGATCTATTTGGTCTATTTTAGAAAGCATCTGGGGATGACTGTGGGGGGTAAACTGTGATTTTTTCTGGGTGGGAGCTGGGCAGATCCTGCATAGGACCTACGTTCTCCGTCGTTGCCAGCTGCGCCATTGAAGGCTGCGGAACCAAGTGGAATCTGCAAGATGCCATGACAAATAAAGGAACTATTGGAAACATATTGGAAAATTGTAGAAAACATATAGGAAACAATATCAGATATAAGACGAGGTGTTTTCTGCTTTTTACAGTTTCTGCGTTCTACTTTTTGGGGTTGCTTGCCAGAAGGTAATTGTGTGCCTTTGCAGCCCGAAACCTATTGTCTTTATCCTATTTTGGAAGCAAAATCCTTCGGCACAGTTCTGGTTGCGACCGTCAATGGCTGGTAACCGCAGTTGGTAACTCCACGCCTTACCAAGACTGTGATGTATCTTGACCCAAGATCTATGATTCTTGAAATTTATGTGGCCTTTGTTGAGCCATGTTCATTCTACACTGTAGATCTTCTAGAAACATTGTATACTGTATACTAATTTGGTCCATATAGATGTGGGGTTTTCTTAAGTCATGGGGGATCCCCAGTCGTCACCGGTTTCAATACGAACACGTCCAGGACTTGGATCATTTGGGCTACCTCCATTAACGATGATCCAACTGAAGTAGTGGCAAATGGATGCAATTGGTTTTCTAACAAATGTATAAATGAGCCTAAACATACTTGTGATATCATTGATACATACTTTGTATAATGTGTGTAAATATATATATGTATATATATATCATATATACATAGATCTTTATATATACTTATGTAAAGATCATGGATTATATCGTCATAACTCCTTTTGATATCTTTTCGCTTTGACCGCACCAACTACAATATGTTGATGTTGTACTAATATCAAGTGATTGTGATCATTAATCAGTAATGTGGATTGTATCACCAGCAGCTGTTGGCCGATTGGCCGCATCTGCCCCCATTGATCAACAATTGTGTTTGACTCAAGATGCGCTATAAATCCCTATCTAAACTATAGAATGAGAATGCTCATTGTGAAAATGATGACCAACCATGGGATGTAGTGAAGTCGTCCTAACTGTGAGACAAAACCAATTCTTGCTGTTAGATCACCATGAATCCCCAGTCGCTCGTTCTTCCACCACACCTGGGTAATGTCAAATCACAAAACCGCGACTTGTGACCGCTGGTTAATCCCATCCTTCCAATATTTAAACAGCCCCATTCTATGGTCCCGATGTGGTTTCATCCCCTACATCCACCATGGTTTCTGCTGGTTACGTTACTAAGGTGTCTCTATCCTTGGTGAAAACCGTTGCAACTGAGCGCTCTTCACTCGTTGCACCTGGCTGGTACCAATCTTTGGGCACAACGCCGACGTTGTGGAGGACCAAGTCATCAAACATCGTTGTTGGTCCACTGGGTGAATGGATGAACCCCCAAATGTTTTTTTTTTTTCACAGGGAAAAACTTATGGTGTTCATTTTTGGTGGATATATGATATATATATATATGTATATAATAGATTATAATAGTATGTATGTATATATGTATAGACATATCCTTCATGATTGTCATGAATATGTCCAATGAGATTAGTCTTGGGTGGAGATCTATCTCCCAATTTGTGCACTTAACAACACATTTCTCTGTCTGGAGCATCCCCATATCATATCATACCACCCAACTTTCTGCAAAAACAGTCATAAACTATCATAAACTCCACGTTTTTCGCCATTTTTCTTGGGCACATCCGAAAAAAAAAAGAAAAAAACACATCGCCGCCGCCGTTAGGTACCAATGATGTCCTTTTGGTAAAAATAGAGGGGCCGGTTTGGTATACCATCCCATCGTCATTTGCCTGTTGTTAAAGGGGTTTCTTCAAACCCCTCTATTAATCAACCAACCAATGGGAAAAGGACATCTATGGCTATCGTTAGCCAAGTTGGTTTATAAGTCCAATAACTATGCTTTCTAGGTGATATATCATATATATCTATAGTTTTCATGGGATTATAACCCATTTATAGCCCATTTAGGTACTGCTGTAGAAGATGCTGGACGCCGGCCGCGAGGAGAGCCGGAAGGTCCCCGTCGCGGTCGCAGCGGTCGCAGTGGTAGCGGGTTGGGTCAAAAGATCCGGTGCCGCACCTGACTGAGGTGGTGTCCCAGCAATGGATGGTTGATTAGGATTGGTTGATACTGTTGGCTATGAATGTTATATAATAATATAAAAAATTATACTATTGATTAGGATTGATACTATTAGGATACTATTGATTGATATTGTAATATGTCAAACAATAGTTCAGAATGTTAAGATTGGTTGATATGATATGAATACGCTTGGCGACTATTGGCCAATATTAGTTGAGTGCTTCGTTTTTTCAACGATGTCCGCCACCTGAATGACCAACATCTGGATCCCCGGGTCTGGAAAAATCTGCCAACCGACTTAGTGACATTGGATACCTTGGATGGGTCTGGAACCAACCAATTGATCCCATAAGAACCAACGTTGGTTGTTAAGGAGATGGGGATGGGTCAAAACCCTGGTACCATTCGTGAACCCCAAGTCATAGCTGGGTTAAAATGGATGTGAATAACCCACAACAAAAATGTATCTATAGGTATTGACCCATACCCAGATGGCAATTCACATTGCTCCACCAGGGTACTAGCGTTAACTATTAGCATATCTACAGTACTGATAAATACTGTGCTACATAAAGCATTTTGGCCCTGCACGTGTGTATACAACGTACGTACATGCAACATGAGGGGTATCTACAAATTCGGCTGTTTCTCTTCAAAAAAACTGGGGATACCCTCCGGTAATTTAACAGTTTGCTATTGAAAATGGCCATTTATAGTGGATTTTCTCATTAAAAATTGTGATTTTCCATAGTAACGTTAGTTTACCAGAGGGGTATCCCAACAAAAACATTGTTACAAGTTGGTATATTGCTCTAATTATATAATGACTATTCCGCGTCGAACATGTTGATACAGTAATTCTCATTGAAGCATGGGAATCCCATTGAACCTGATTATTTTTTGGGGGAATTGCCTACGTACCGAGTAACATGTCCGGTTGGGGTGGTCCCCCTGTACTTGGAAGGGTTGTCAGCAATCTGAAACGACCAAAATGACCAAAAAAGACACTGGTCAAAGAAATGCACGTCCTTTTGCTACATCATATGCTATCTATGTATCTCTCCATCTAATCCAAGCAAAGCAAAGCCAAGCCAAGCAAAACTAATAAGTAAGCTAATCAAACCTATACCTACATCATCCTTAATGAACAATGGCAGCCCTCTCTGCATACATGTTATCATACATCCATGGCAAGGTTCATAAGCAAATAAAGAAACCTCAGAAGTTACCCGCCTGACAAGACAGGCTCCGCCACGGGTGCAGCCTGCGGCCAGGCAAACTATTCGTTCAACTGAGGAGGGCCCCTTTTTTGTTGGCACTTTCCCTGAGGAAAATATGAAACATATTATAACTGGTTGGTGGTTTCAATCCCTCTGAAAAATATTAGTCAGTTGGGATCATTATTCCCAGTGAAAGTAATAAAAATTATGTTCCAAACCACCAATCAGATATTATAATATGAGAAAATGTGTAGTTTGAACTGCAGTGGATTTCAGTGCATTCCACAACCAAAAATCCCAAACCGTTTAGTAATAGTAGATTATGCGTCCGTCAGCCGATTGAGAATGAGTTAGCTCTGCCAAATCGAAATTGATGGGTTACCCTCTGGTAATTTAACATAGCAATGGAAAATCACAATTTTTAATGGGAAAATCCACTATAAATGGTGATTTTCCATAGTTATGTTAGTTTACCAGAGGGTACGACTACCCATCAACTACAAAAAAGGAGTTGATTGGGATCTCTTCAGCCCAATAATTTTTAATTGTGTGATGGTTGTAACCATGTATCCCTATTTTATGATTGGGATCTCCTCCATCCTCAACCATCACTAGACACACATATTGTGATGCTTCTGATGCTGGCGAAACAAAAGAAATCTGCTCCATAAAAAAAAAAAAAACGGTTGATTTAGAACCAGTTTTCTGATGTTTTCTGCCCTCCAGTTCATGAAGGATCTATAGCCCACCGTCAGTTGGTTGGTTTTTTGGCTGTGGTTTCCTTCTGGAAATATTGAAAAAATATGAATCCATCCATACCTGGTTGGTGGTTGATACAAAACCCCTCTGAAAAATCATGGAGTGAGTGAGTTCGTCAGTGATGATTTTCCATTCCCAACTGTTTCTGGAAAGTCATAAAACATGTTCCAGTCACCACCAACCAGATATATATTTAACTATATTTCATGTTATATAACTATACTATAGTTGGTTAGATATCCCATTATATATATCCCCATGTTATATACTGGCCATCACGTTCAATCCTGATTCTTGCTGGCCATCCATGGATGGACATGGTGAAATCACTGGGCCCCGGGGGCCCCTATCTAATTGCACTTCGTAAACGCTTAAAAAATCCGAGAAATTGTCCAAACACCAGCCATTTACCGATCTAATTCATTTTTTTTACATCTAGACTGATTTGCAAACTTGATCATCGAGGTCATAATATATCACCAAGACTCCAACATCATTCCACATACTATGTCCGGTGACTTTTCAATATGTTTGGCAACCCAGGCAAGCCAAACATACCCCGTCCCTCTCCTCCAACAAACACCGCCAAGCAAAGCTTGATTAAATGTATTGAATGCGTTCATGAAGTGTGCCCAATATGGATAGTATACACAAGTGTACATACATTATGTATATACAGTATATATATATTGATGTGTATATATATATGTAATTATGTATATATATATACATGCAACATATGTATATATATATATATATATATGCAGCATGTATATATATATATATATGCCATATATATATACATATATATATACATGCCATATATATATATTAGATATGTTTCATTTCCATTTCTATCTCGTATATTGAACCTTTTAAACACCCGATTCTGAAGGGTTACTAGCACAAAATTGAACATTTCAAAAACGGGAACATGTCGCAACTATAACCAACAACATCCAACAACTATAGTCTCCAAACAAATGACTCCCCAACGCAACAATATTAGAAAACTTAATTCCATGAACAGGTTTGCATATTGTGTCCATTTCTATAATGCTGTATGTTGAGAAACATTACTAGGTTTGTACCTACATCTCTATATGGCTATGGATCAATACCTATAGATACCATTTTTAGGGGAATGCACATCCATTTACCAGCTATTTTGATGTTCACCAGGGGTACAAGGTTTTGACACACTGCCATATTGAACCCAGTAAAAAATCCCTATGTTTACACGAATTACGGTGATGTTTACACGCGACAGTGACCATCCCTTGTCCGAGTCACCTGCTTGGCAGCCTGGATCCTGTGCAGCCAGGGTTACCCCAAGTCATAGCTGGGATTTATGGATGTTCATCCCCTAAAACTGATGGGGAAATCACCATTTTTGATGGGGAAATCACCATTTTTAATGGGGAAATCACCATTTTTAATTGGGAAATCACAATTTTTAATGGGAAAATCACCATTTTTAATGGGATAGTGAATTCCCATCCATAGGTGTTGACGGTTTTGACCCGTGGGCATTGAAGTTTTACTTGATCGTTGACCGTTGACTTAAAGAATGTTTTCTGATTAACGTTTGATGGGTGTTCAATCAACGTTTAATGTTTTTTGTTGATGGATTGACATAGACATGAGCTTGATACAAGTCAGCATGCGTTTAACGGACTAATTGACAGAATTGTATCTTTAAAGTTTAAAGGGTTCTGTATTGATTGAGGGAAATGAATCGACTAACAGGAAAGGAGATTAGATCAAACTGTCTTTTTTACATGGATGTTTATTCCCCACGTGCCAGGTGAGGATATTTAGATTTTAACAGAAACAGAGCAGAGGATTGGGAGGGAGAGAGAGAGAGAGAGAGAAATAATCAATGTCAGATAGAATGCCAGATAAACTACCATAATGTAAGAATTATGTCGGAAGAAATGCCATGTCTGGCAGAATATCTGCCACAGCGGGGATCACTCGAAGAAAGTAGTTGAGACGAAGAGAAGTGGATTGACTACAGCAACTAACATAGTTTTGAATGCTTTTTAATGACATAAACCACGGTTTTGAAGTTTGAACTCATCAAAACATGTTTATTCATATATTTTTTTTACTGACTAATTAACAGAAACGGATTTGTTAATCACACAGATTCCAATTTGTATCTAATTGACTAACATCCCCCAGGTCCTGAGACACACCCACAAAAACCTATGGTGTGTGGACTCCACCAAGGTGGACTGGTGAGTTGCAACGGTGCAACGCTTTGGACGTCCCTTGGAGCGTCATCTATGGTGTTTGTTGGCATAGGATCTTCTGGCCCCAACCCAACAAGAAGCACTTTGGTCACTTTGCTGTATGACAAAAAAAACATCCATCAAACTACCATTTTGACAATCAGATTGGCCATTGTTTAGTCATGATTTATGCGTTGTATCACCATTGTAGCTTCATATTTTTCCTAAGCGGCAATGTGCGTTTCATTATTCTTTAAGTTTGCACAAGTCTGAGGCCAAAAAAACCCTCCGGCAATGGAATTTAAACCATCCTTCCCCCATTTTCTAAGATGATCCCGCAGGTCCAGAGCTCCATTCCGTGTCCTATCGTTGAACATATATATTGTTCCCCAAGACATGCTGCAATTAAATTGGTATATCCCAAATTCTCAAGAACAAACTCGTATCCGATTGTTCTTTACAATTATATCCCCATTGATTCCCTGATATTTTCCTATCTCCACTATATATACGTATATATATATATATCCCCTACTATATCATAATGTACCCACTTCATATGTCCCTCATGTTCACACTTTATCTGCAGTTTAAATGTGTCAAAAACTTGGTACCCCTAAGTTCAGACCAAGATAGCTGGGATTTTTTCTGGATGTTCATCTGACCCCTCCATTCCAATAGTATCCCATGAACAATTCCACTATTGGTCATCCATCCCATAGTTCATGGGAATCCGTGCACATCATCCCACCCCCCTAATGCTACACAGATGCTACACAGACCCCAGAAACCATGGTAAAAAGTAGGGGATCAACAACACATCTGACAATACAATTGGGTGTAGATCTTTGAACTGGGGATCATCATTAATCACTTTGTATCAAACCATTCAAACTATGGGTAACTGGATGTATTATGGGTACAGTCACCAAACATTTCTGGTTGGTGGCTGACCTACCCCTCTGAAAAATGATGGACTTCGTCAGTTGGGATGATTTTCCATTCCCAACTGAATGGAAAGTCATAATCCATTCCATGGTTCCAGTCACCACCAACCACATGTCCAAAGGGAAACTGCGTGGATGACTTAATCACCCCCTTTGACCAACCCCGTGCGTTCACCCGCCTGACTTCACGCTGGGCTTGGTAGTCCTTCTCCGCCTTCCGCTGCAACTTTTGCAACCTCGCTGGCAGAAACACTTCGCCGCAACCAGTGCGGCTGGACCGAAACAAAGATCAGCTGCCACTGGTCACTTTCAATGGCCATGTTGTATCCTGAAAAAGTGGGATTTACTACTCATTTCGTATGATTGAACTATGAACAAACATATGAAATGTATATCTGGAATTCATATGGAAACATAGTTCATATGAAAATGGAAATAACATGTCACCACTGATGCATCCGGGTTGGTCCTGAGATGGGGGGATATACACCACTGCGGGGTGCCCTGGAAAATAGATCTTTTCAACATGTAGATACCAGCATGATGACCAGAAACAAAACCGTCGTTGCCATGATTAATAACCAGACAAAAAAAAAAACGCGAAGGACAGAACGCAGGAACAGAGGAAGAAAAAGAACAATGAACAGGAACAAGAAGAAACAACATGCAAACACAGAAGCAGAAGACGAAGAAAACCAAAACAGAAGAAGGAAGACAAAAAGAAGAAACAAGAGGAACAAATGGAGTACAATTGAACATCCTTTAATTGGCAAACATCGTTTGATAACTGGAAAATCAGGCCTACTGTGCTTAAGACAATGATTTTGTTGTATACTCTGTCTGGAAACCATTGGTTGGAAACTGAAAGAATGGTTTGTTTGCAAGAATAACATATTGCTAGCAATCCACGTGTTATTATTTTAAAGCATGTTATACCACACAAAACAAAGCAGGATAACATGTTATTATACCAACCATGTGTATATTTATATATATATATAGAACAAATCCAAAAAACAAAACAAAGCATGCATTGCTTACAACTTAATTGCTTCATAATTTCATCATATATCATACATACATACATATAATACCATATAATTACATATCACTATAGCGCCAGTCATTATATCATCATTAATCTTTATATACTCATTAACCATTACATCATCTTTGCTATTCTTTGCTGTTGAAACCCATAAAACATGGCCTAACCTCCCTCTCCGTTTCCGCCGTTTCCGGTTAAACGCCGTTTCGCGACTCCAGGTAGGTCGGCATCTGCTCCGCCAGCATCGGCATGATGTCCTCCCGCCCGCTGCTGGTGGATAGGAAAATGAGAAATGATTGTCAAATCACCAGATAAAACAGGATGGCTGGATATAGTAGGATATAATTGGATGTAGTTGGAGATTTTTTGAATGTGTTATATTGATATTTCATGGGGACATACTGGAATAAAACACACTTAATGTTATAGTTGTGTTTGTCTGAAGTACGTTAACCTCTCTATTAATTCCCAATTAGTAATTGGGAATTAATAGACAGGTTAAATTAGGGCTTTATTTGTTTCCCGTATTTGTCCAACATATCCCAAAGTGTGATTATCAACTTATGTTTTTGTCTGGCATATATCCCGCTTTCATCATTTCAACAGGAAACATACCGAACTTTGAGGTACCCGACCTGTTCAGTTTGCAACTGCTTGAAATCTGATAGGAGTGGAGCCGACCAGCATTGGAAACCACCATGTTGGAAACCACCATGTTGGAAATAACACAAATATTGGATGTGCAGTAAATAACATTATGCGATGATATCAATCCCAACATAATCATATGTAACCACCAACCATGTTTGATATTGATTATGAGATGATATCAATCCCATCGATTGTCCGTTAGACTGCACAATGGAATCAGCATCACAGATCAGTAGTTTAAACAGAAAAAACAACCTATTGTAGTGGTAAACATCAATGTTTTCTGGTTTGAATAGCTATGTTAAATTACCAGAGGGTAATCATTACTAAGCATCAATCTGGGTAAATTATCATATTTCCATTTTACCTGAATCTTAAGGCCATATTTTACCCAGATCAGGCCGTACTTCAACGGCCACAATCCCATGGTTTTTCTCCACATTCTCCAGGTCAATTCTCCCCGTCAAAACACACCATCTCCTCATGCAGGATTGCCTCCGCCACCTGGACGGTGTTAAAATTGCCGATGCAAATGTGCGTTTTTTTGTTTGAAATCATGTTTATTTATTTGTTATATATATATAGTAATATATATACTTGATATCCAATACTATAGTAGTGTGTTATATGCATTATATGTGAACATTTTGCATACTATATAATTAATGTGATACCATAGTTTGAAACCATAGTTGATAATCCAATCCCCCGTTCATATGAAACACCTCCATTCTATGGTCCCAAATATGTGTATCTATCTCCTAAACCATGGTGTCTGAGGGGTTTGGGATATTAGGGGAAAGGGATTATGTAGGTTTTTCCTAGTATATCTCAATATGTCCCCATCTATGGCAAAACGTGGTATATTATGGTAAATCAGGTATGGTTTGTGGATGTTCATCCTAAAGTGATATAACATGGATTGATCATGATTGATATGAATTAATCCTATAACCAACTGGGTACAGCACACTCCAATGATTGATGTTCCTTTTGGCTATAAGAAATTGCCAGCTTGGGAGATATACCCAATCTTCAAACAAATTTGCGGATTTGAGGAGGTACAAGTCGGAGGATTTTGCCAGAAAATACTTTGAGAAATCGCGGTGAAATCACCGAACCAGCGAAAAAAATGATCTGTTTTCGCCAGCAAAACATTGGGAGTTCACTGAACAAAGGTGTTGGAACCTACAGAAATATCGCAGTGTCGCAGTGTCGCAGTGTCATGGGGAGCTTGGCCATCGATGCCCCTCACCTTCTTGAAGGACTCTTGGACAATGTCCTGCTGTTGCCTGGGGCACACCAAGCATGTTAGCCATTTATTCAGGTGATTCAATTGGATAATCATGGCTAACACATGTTTATAATGGCTAACACTGGTTAATTGTGATTATTGGAACTAACCCCTGATCATCCAACATGCTTGGCTGGAAAATCGTGGATTTTAATGGAGGTTTATTGCTGGGGAATTCATCTATAAATGATGAATTTCCATTGCAATGTTGAAAAAAAATGTTTAAACAATTACAAAAACACTTGGATAGTTGGAGCTGGTAGGCTGACCCAGTTGCCAAACATTTACCAAAAACACATGTCCGGAAGAAAATGTTTGGGAAGAAAATGGAATGCCGCCAGCAACTGCTTATCAACTGATTGTTCGAACATGTTCCACACATCCGACACAACTTACACAGATGCAACAAGAAGGTCACTGAACATGGATATTCCAAAATCTCTACTTGTTGCTTTGACAAAATGATGGAACCCTGCAAGGGCCCTAACACAGTCAAAGGCACCTGGGGAAGGGAAAATTGGCCTCACCCAACGGATGAACCCAGCCAAGGCAAGAGGTTCATCCCCATCAAGGGAGGCTCAGGCCCCCACCAAGGGAACCCAATTAAGGAAGCTCAAACCCAGTCAAGGGAACCCAGTAAGCGAAGCTCAAACCCAGTCAAGGGAACCCAGTTAAGGGAAGCTCAAGCCCAGTCAAGGGAACCCAATAAGGGAAATTCAAAGCCAGTCAAGGGAACCCAGTTAAGGGAAGCTCAAACCCAGTCAAGGGAACCCAGTGAAGGGAAGCTCAAGCCCAGTCAAGGGGGCCCAGTTAAGCGAAGCTCAAGCCCAGTCAAGGGAACCCAATAAGGGAAATTCAAAGCCAGTCAAGGGAACCCAGTTAAGGGAAGCTCAAACCCAGTCAAGGGAACCCAGTGAAGGGAAGCTCAAGCCCAGTCAAGGGGGCCCAGTTAAGGGAAGCTCAAACCCAGTCAAGGGAAGCAAGGTCAGGGAAGTTCAAACCCAGTCAAGGGAACCCAGTTGAGGGAACCTCAAGCCCAGTCAAGGGCACCCGGTTAAGGGAAGCTCAAGCCCAGTCAAGGGAACCCAGTAAGGGAAATTCAAACCCAGTCAAGTAAACCCAGTTAAGGGCAGCTCAAACCCAGTCAAGGGAACCCAGTGAAGGGAAGCTCAAGCCCAGTCAAGGGGGCCCAGTTAAGGGAAGCTCAAACCCAGTCAAGGGAAGCAAGGTCAGAGAAGCTCAGGCCCAGTCAAGGGAACCCAGTTAAGCGAAGCTCAAGCCCAGTCAAGGGAACCCAGTTGAGGGAAGCTCAAGCCCAGTCAAGGGGGCCCAGTTAAGGGAAGCTCAAACCCAGTCAAGGGAAGCAAGGTCAGAGAAGCTCAGGCCCAGTCAAGGGAACCCAGTTAAGCGAAGCTCAAGCCCAGTCAAGGGAACCCAGTTGAGGGAAGCCCAAGCGCAGTCAAGGGAACCCTGTTAAGGGAAGCTCAAACCCAGTCAAGGGAAGCCAGTTAAGGGAAGCTCAAACCCAGTCAAGGAAACCCAGCTCAGGGAAACTCAAGCCCAGTCAAGGGAACCCAGTTAAGGGAAGCTCAAGCCCAGTCAAGGAAACCCAGTTAAGGGAAATTCAAACCCAGTCAAGTAAACCTAGTGAAGGGAAGCTCAAGCCCAGTCAAGGGGGCCCAGTTAAGGGAAGCTCAAACCCAGTCAAGGGAAGCAAAGTCAGGGAAGCTCAGGCCCAGTCAAGGGAACCCAGTTAAGGGAAGCTCAAGCCCAGTCAAGGGAACCCAATTAAGGGAAGCTCAAGCCCAGTCAAGGGAAGCAAGGTCAGGGAAGCTCAAGCCCAGTCAACGGAACCCAGTTAAGCGAAGCTCAAGCCCAGTCAAGGGAACCCAGTTGAGGGAAGCTCAAGCCCAGTCAAGGGAACCCTGTTAAGGGAAGCTCAAACCAGTCAAGGAAACCCAGTTTAGGAAGGTCAAACCCAGTCAAGGGAACCCAGTTAGGCGAAGCTCAAGCCCAGTCAAGGGGGCCCAGTTAAGGGAAACTCAAACCCAGTCAAGTAAACCCAGTTGAGGGAAGCTCAAACCCAGTCAAGGGAACCCAGTTAAGCGAAGCTCAAGCCCAGTCAACGGAACCCAGTTAAGGGAAGCTCAAGCCCAGTCAAGGGAACCCAGTTAAGGGAAGCTCAAACCCAGTCAAGGGAACCCAGTTAAGGGAAGCTCAAACCCAGTCAAGGAAACCCTGTTAAGGAAGCCCAAGCCCAGTCAAGGGAACCCAGTGAAGGGAAGCTCAAGCCCAGTCAAGGGGGCCCAGTTAAGGGAAGCTCAAACCCAGTCAAGGGAAGCAAGGTCTGGGAAGCTCAGGCCCAGTCAAGGGAACCCAGTTAAGGGAAGTTCAAACCCAGTCAAGGGAAGCCAATCAAGAGGAGTCAAGGGAACCCAGTTCAGGGAAGCCCAAGCCCAATCAACAAAACCTAGTTAAGGGAAACTCAAACCCAGCCAAGGGAACCCAATTAAGGGAAGCTCAAGCCCAGTCAAGGGAAGCAAGGTCAGGGAAGCTCAAACCCAGTCAAGGGAACCCAGTTCAGGGAAGCCCAAGCGCAGTCAAGGGAACCCGGCTAAGGGAAATCCAAACCCAATCAACTAAACCCAGTTACGGGAAGCTCAAGCGCAGTCAATGGAACCCAGTTAAGGGAAACTCAAACCTAATCAACTAAACCCAGTTAAGGGGAACTCAAACCCAGTCAAGGGAACCCAATTAAGGGAAACTCAAACCCAGTCAAGGGAAACCCAATTAAGGGAAGCTCAAGCCCAGTCAAGGGAACCCAGTTAAGGGAAGTTCAAGCCCAGTCAGGGCAACCCAGCTAAGGGAAGCTCATGCCCAGTCAAGGGAACCCAGTTAAGGGAAGCTCAAACCCAGTCAGGGCAACCCAGCTAAGGGAAGCTCAAGCCCAATCAAGGGAACCCAGTTAAGGGAAGTTCAAACCCCGTCAAGGGAACCCAGTTAAGGGAAACTCAAGCCCAGAAGCTCAAACCCAGTCAAGGAAACCCAGTTAAGGGAAACTCAAACCCAGTCAAGGAAACCCAATTAAGGGAAACTCAAACCCAGTTCAGGGAAGCTCAAACCCAGTCAAGGAAACCCAGTGAAAGGAAACTCAAGCCCAATCAACTAAACCCAGGCTAAAACCCAAACCCACGAAACTCAAACCCAGTCAAGGGAACCCAGTTCAGGGAAGCCCAAGCGCAGTCAAGGGAACCCGGCTAAGGGAAATCCAAACCCAATCAACTAAACCCAGTTACGGGAAGCTCAAGCGCAGTCAATGGAACCCAGTTAAGGGAAACTCAAACCTAATCAACTAAACCCAGTTAAGGGGAACTCAAACCCAGTCAAGGGAACCCAATTAAGGGAAACTCAAACCCAGTCAAGGGAAACCCAATTAAGGGAAGCTCAAGCCCAGTCAAGGGAACCCAGTTAAGGGAAGTTCAAACCCAGTCAAGGGAACCCAGTTGAGGGAAACTCAAACCCAGTCAAGGGAACCCAGTTCAGGGAAACTCAAACCCAGTCAAGGGAACCCAGTTCAGGGAAGCTCAAACCCAGTCAAGGGAACCCAGTTCAGGGAAACTCAAACCCAGTCATGGGAACCCAGTATCAGTAAAGTGATAAAATGACAGGGTGTTCAGCAGAAGTTTCTGACGAAACCGTTCTGGCCAGGTGTTTCCGCAGAAAGAAAATTTTGACGATGAAAGCCTTGGTGGCATCAATTTTGCCAACACAAAAATGGACACACTAAAGCCAAGCAAAAAAAACACTGGAAACGTGTACGACGTGAAGCGGGAAAGTTTTGGCACTTAATCTATGGGGCCTTGGCAGAAACCGTCCTACCAGGGCTAAACACCACCGCAACAGCACCCATGAGTTTAAGGAAACGAAAGGGCTGGGCCTCCATTAAAAGGAACCATACAACCATTTGATCCTCTTGATTCCCTTCCGCTGCCGATGCGATTCCACAGTTTCAAGTCTGCACTCCTTGAGAACACAGGCATACAGAATATGGTTTCAATAAAACTTGTTGAAGCCAAGGCAAATGAAATCAAATCGGACAAACCAAAATCGCATTTATCCAGCATCGGTGGAAAATTGCGCCGAAACGAAGTTCCGGGTATAGATGTTTTGCAAAAGGGATCAAAGGGTGTGCGAAACATCCAACATATTCAAGTGCACAACAAATTTGGCCGGAAAAAACTTTACAGAAATAAGCTGGGCCTGAAGTTAGTTACCAGTAGTACCGCGCAAGGCGGTGGCGGAAGTTTCAAAACTAGGAAACCTATAGGAGAGGTGAGTTGTTGCGATGCATGGATGGCAGAGCGAATCCAATGGGCCGAAGGGTGGTTGGAGTTGTGTTTTTTGGAGTGTTTGGAGTGGTTGCAGTGGTCACCTCACCCACAACTGCTGGATGTAGTGTGGTGTAGTGCAGTTGTATTTGTAGCTGTAGCGTGGTGTAGTGGAGTTGTAGTTGTAATCTGTAAAAAGTGTAGTGCAGTTGCAGTTGCAGTTGCGGTTGTAGTTGGTGTGTGGTGTAATAAGTGTAGCGTATTGTAGTGTACTGTAGCGTTGTGTGCTGTAGTGTGGTATAGTGTAGTCTAGTGTAGTGTAGTGTAGCGTAAGGTAGTGTAGTTGTCGCTGTAGTGTGGTGTAGTGTAGCTAGTGTAGTGTAGTGAGTGTAGTGTCGCGTAGTGCAATGTAGTGGTAGTTAAAATTAATTGTGGTTGCAGTGTAGTCGTAGCTGTAGCGTAATGTAATGCAATTAGTGTAGTGTAGTGTAATATGTAGCGTAGTTGTAATGTGCTGCAGTGTAATTGCTGCAGTGTAGTGTAATGTGGTGTAGTTGATATTGTTTGTTGTAGCTGTGGTAGTAGTAGTTGTTGTAGTTGTAGTGTAAATAGCGTAGTGTAGTGCAATTAGTGTAGTGTAATGTAGCGTAGTTTATTTGTACTTGTAGTTGTAGTAATAATGTAGTGTAGTGGTACTTGTAGTTGTAGTTGCAGTTGTCGTTGTCTATCTATCTATCTGTCTATCTGCAAGCTTGAAAATGAAGCTATTCTGCGAGACTTGCTCCGATTTTGAACGTGACAACGTCAAACACGAAACAATTCTGCAAGACTTCCTCAATTTTCGAAGCTGACAGCATCAAAAACGACGCAATTCCCCGAGACTTCCTTCAAAAATGGAAAGTTGAGTGCAGAGCTGACGGCCTTGTGCCATTGTGTTTTGCGATTTTTCCGGTCTATATCTCTAAAATATTGCGCCTGCCACGATAAAGTGATGCCAGGTCGTGCGAATTGCTGCACCTGTCACGCAAAATCATCTTAGCAAACCTACAGATCTGATGCTCCAAAATGCAACCCCTCTCAGGAAATCAGCGCCTGGACCAGGCAAAACCACATCTGAACTTTCAAAAAACGGTCCTAGCATGTGGTGTTTTTAACATTTTGACCTGGAAATGTGCTTCGCGCCACACCTGCCTGCACTTTGTCGACATGTCAACTTCCAAAAGTGGTCCGATCACGGTGTGTTTTGCACATTTTGACTTGGAAATGTGCTTCGCGCCACAAGGACGTGCACTTTTTCGACATCACAACTTCCAAAAGTGGTCCAAGACCGTCGGTTTTTAACACTTTTGACTTCGAAATGTGCTTCGCGCCACAACAGCGTGCACTTTTTCCACATCTGAACTTTCAAAAGTGGTCCGACCATGGTGTGCTTTTTCGACCCTCCGGAGCCACAAATCAGTGGAAAAACACAATGTGTCCCGACTTTCCTACCTTTTCGCGCACCTGGATCTCCTTTCTTCTGAAACTTTCTCTTTCTTGATCTTCTTTCTTCTTCTCTTCTCTGACTCTTTTGACTCCTCTGGGGATACTCCAGAATCTCCCAGAATCTACTGAAACGCCAAACAGCTATTGCTGTGAGGACAGGGAAAATATGGCCACAGCTGGCTCCACCATCCCACGGGCCCTCGCCCAGAGGGGTTGTCTTGGACAACACAAGTCGTGAACGCCAAAAAGGGCTACAGAAATCTCCAGTCTTCAAAAATCAGAGTCATGAGGAAGGAGCCCTAACGAACATCGTTTCAGACATTGGCTCCAAAATCCATCGATAGGTAACAAAACTGGATGCTCTGACTCTTCCCATCTCTGCTTTTCACCTGTCCATATTGTCGGAAGTTTGACTTCTAAACTTCCTTCGATAATGATTAATTTAATTCCATGAATTCATTTTCAATAAAATGAAGATGTGTCAATCATCTCATTCAATAACAATGATTTAACAATTTGGCCAAGAAGCCTGTCAAAACACACTTGAATATACAATTCATGAAATTGCTCATTTGTTCGTCACTTAGACCACTGAGAGCACCCCTTTTTTCTGGGGGATGGGTCTCATTCACCTCCCCGCCACTGCCACACAATCACCAGCCTGTGAGTGAGATATTTCAGGGATTCCTCCGCATGCAGCAAGCGCTGCCGGAAGTCGTACTTCTCCTGGACAAAACGTAGCCGTTCGCATAGTTTCCCTTTTTGTTGTTGGGAAACCATGGTGTATGGGAAACTCTGGTGTTTGGAAACATCATGGGTATGTAGGAAAGATATCTCATTGGAAAACTGGCCACGACCCATGGGATCTCCATGGGATTTGTTTGGGGTATCCTATTGCCAGACAGACCCATGTGAAAGTCCTCAATACGTTCACGATAGAGTCAGCAACTATGCGCAAAGTATCCACGACCTTTGAACTCTTATGGATGGATAGCTCTCCATTTTTAGTGGGATACGTGCTGAACTATTGCCGATAAAACTATTTTGTTCCATGATCATGAAACAAGTATGTAACATACATTCTTTTACTGCAACATAGCCAACATAGCTATGGAAAATGGCCCGTTGATACATGATGTACTTATTAAAGATGGATTTTCTTGACAGCAAACTGTTAAATTACCAAAGGGTACGTGGACATGTCACGGGGTTAACGTTGAAAGCCGTGGTCATCTCATGGCAAAAATTGGTTGGATGTAATCTGTGATCTGTGAAATGACATACGACATACGATAACCTCACTGGGACAAATCACCAAGCAATAACCAACTAACAGTATTGTGGCTCTCTTTCTCTCTCTCTCTCTATACAATACATAAATATATATATATACAAATATATATATATAAATTGTAATTATATAATATGCTATATAGGCTATATACATATGTATGTAAATTCATATTTGCAATGGATGTACATATATATATATCCGGATGATACTGAACAATATAGTGTAGGAAAAAATCATGAGTGTGAATGATATTACCATGACACCTACGGTACTGTGATTCTTATCCAGTATGACCCATCAAAACCCAGATGTCAAGTATCAATCCCAGATACCAATAAGATATCATCATAGCAACACATTCATAGATACCACAATACAACAACATCAAACCATGGCTGATCTTGGAAATGTCATGATATGGTGGTTTCCTGAAATAGGGCCTTTTCCCAGTCATCATCCATTTGGGCTTTTCCATGACATAACCATTTTTGGATCATTTCTGGAAACCCCAACCAGCTCCATCCCCATCCCCAGGTCCATCCCCGGCCCACAAGGCCTGCATTCGCGCCATGAAGCTGGACCTCAGCTGTTTCTCCTCCTGGTCGCTCACAGCCTTGGGCGAAGCGCGGAACCAGAGAAAGTTGTGGTGGGAGCCCCAAGCGAACGGCTCGAACGCTGGGGAGAACGGCTAGAAACAGATGCCGGTGGAATTGGTAAGTTCAACTTGCGTCTTCATGCGCAGAACAAAATCGAAACAAACATACATGGTCATGCTCGAGTTTAGCGGCTGTAGATAATGGGTACAAGATGGTATTCAAGAGACACGAAACAAAAACTGCCACGAAGGAATTGAACAAACAAATCTATAATCAACAAAAAATCCCACAGTAGAGACCGTATCAGCCAACCCCCTGGGAAATGGATCTTCAATGGCATTCCACATCAAACTTAGGTAGATCTAGTATCACACACATACACACTGCAATTACTTCTCAATGGTATATCTACCTGTCATTCTACATTTCAGCCACCGGTTGGTCAAAATTCATTTGATACTCAAGGGCGGGAATCATGTGCCAACTAATCATGGAATATGATCTGTAGGTATAAAAGAACCCACTGCAATCTTTGACGACACACATGGGAGGCATTCTGGCACTTCTGCTTTTCAACAACATCATTTGGATTCACACGCTGCTATGCACCCACATTCCTGCAGTTGGAAAACCAAGCCCAGAAAGCAGACCCCAAACAAAAAAAAATCAAGGCATCACTGCATAGTGCATCAAATGGAAGACAAGTGGGAAACAAGCAGGAAACTAAATGAATAACACAATTTTGCCTCCGAAGGAAATCACAACCACAGGCCAACACGCCAACACAACAAATAAACATGCGCGCTAGACACGGAAACGTCCGGATTCATCAGCCACTTAAAATGTTGAACATCCAAAGGACGTGAACGAAAATGGGTTGTATCCCATAATTTTGATGTTTGACCTTGATTTGACTAAAGATGGCGCCTTTTAACACCTGATATACCCATGTGTACCACATCTTCAGGCCAACATATAGCATACCACTGATCCCACTATGTCCAGAATACAATGTATTCCATTCATGTGGTAAATCTGTAAATCGTGGTAAACCGCCCCGTTTACCATGACAGGGTGTCATTTGATTTCATCTCATTGCTTGGAAATGGAGATTTGGCATTGGCTTTACCACCAAACATATTCCCATCAACTGGTTAGTACTGTGTCCTCACATGGATCCTATATGGGTTTTCTCTCAAACATCAGGTACCCCAGCCAACATTTCATGGTTTATCATGGTTTATCATCATTTCATGAGAATTTTCTGATGATTCTAGGACCATTTTCACTCTGAAACGCGCGGGTGATCTTCTGGGCGAGCTGCTGGCAGCTGTGCCGCCAGTCCCGTGGAATCCACTGACTTCACCTTGAGAAAAGAGATGAGGATTTGTCAATGGATTAGGGGATTTTGATGATGATGGATGATGGTCCCCCTTAATTTTCAGATTATGATGATGGCGATTTTGATGATAATGATGATGATGATGATAGTGATGATGGTGATGATGAGGATGATAATGATGATGATGATGAAGAAGATGATGATGATGATGGCGGTGGTGATGATGATGGTGATGATGGTGATGATGAGGTTGATGATGGTGATGATGGTGATGATGATGATGATGATGATGGTGATGATGATGATGATGGTGATGATGGTGATGATGATGGATGGTGGATGATGGATGATGGATGATGGATGATGGATGATGGATGATGGATAATGGGTGAGGATGATGATGATGATGATGATGATGATGATGAGGATGATGATGATCATGGGTGATGGATGATGGATGATGGATGGTGATGATGATTATGATGGTGATGATGGTGATGATGGTGATGATGAAGATGATGATGGTGATGATGAGGATGATGATGGTGATGGTGCTGGATGATGATGATGATGATGATGTTGATGATGGTGATGGATGATGGATGATGGATGATGGGTGAGGATAATGATGATGGTGATGATGGTGATGATGATGATCATGGGTGATGGATGATGGATGATGGATGATGATGGTGGTGATGATGATGATGATGACGATGATGATGATGATGATGATGGATGATGATGATGATGATGATGGTGATGATGATGATGATGGTGATGATGGTGATGATGATGGATGGTGGATGATGGATGATGGATGATGGATGATGATGATGGTGATGTGGATGTGGATGTGGATGGCTGGCTGGCTGGCTGGGTGGATGGATGGATGGAGGATGATGATGATCCGATTGTGTTGATGGTTTCATGTTTTTGATGTTTTTTGAATATATTTCCGAACATGTTTTTAACAGATTAGGAAATAACGATGATCCATTTATTTGCTCGATTTAGGCTGAGTTTTCAAATGACCTCGATGATGAAATAAGCTAAGATTAGGGGAATGATCCAAAAACCATTGGTTCATGTCAGTTTGGTCAGTTTGGTGAATCATTATAATTTGCCCTTAAATTCCGAACAGGGAAAGAATAAGTTCCAAGCATAGAATTTTCATCAGCCATACGGGTCTGGGTCAAGTCATACAATGTACTGTAATTACCCTAAAATGGGATAGTCTGCCACTGATGACTGAGATCTGATGTCCTCTGAGGTCCTATGGGTCTTAAATTGTCACACTTATCCAGTAAGGATTCTACTTGGAGGATCATTCCACTTAGTGGTTAATAAGCCTCGTTTTAGTAAGAACCCTAAGTGTGTTATCCCTGTGTTATCCCATTTCTAAATGGCTAAACTAACCCCAGTTACTAAGCACTTAATTACTACCTGTGAGGTAATCCTGCAGGTCTTACAATCCGTTCTGTCATTCTTGGTGGACAAAACATCTTTCCCAAGCCTCACCCTGCCCAAAGATTTTAGCCAAGTACCTGCACCTTCCAGAAACAAACAACCTAACTCTGTTGGGTTGTGATTTTCCAATGTCAGTGTTGACAAATATTCTGAACATCATCCAAGCATAGGGGATATGATCTCCAACAAATAGTGTTGAAAGTGAAAGTTCAAAAACTAAAAAAAAAAAGACATTTACCAGCCCCTGATGGTTTTAGGTATTTTTGATATACTACTTAAATCACTGCCTTGGTGGGAAAATTTATCGGAACCCCCTTTTTTTTCATGGTGAAAAACCCATGGTTTCCGGTGAACATTTTCTCTTCAAGGGCAACACCTTCCCGACTTCCAGTTGCCTCAGCATTGATCACCTGGGAGCCTGCAGTCGCTGCATCAATCTGGCGTGTTGGTAAACCATGCTTTTTGCTACTTGTGAAAGGTCCAACAAATCACCCATTTACAACGAAAAAAACTAGACGACGGTTGGCCCGAGAGCGAAAAAGATGTTTTTCAAGCAGCTCTGAGGATGGTAGTCGTAAAAGATAGTCGGTGAATAGTTGGTGAATTTTATATGAGCTATGGAAAGATATGGTGTGAAAAAGTAAGATTGATCAAGAAGAGAATATTTGGTAAAGGGCATCAGATGACATGTGTCTTGCAACCACAGAGAGAAAGAGGGGCGGAGAGATAAAGATAGAGAGAGAGAGAGAAAGAGAGAGAGAGAGAGAGAAAGAGAAAGCAAGAGAGAGAGAGAGAATGAAAGGGGGAGGTAGAAAGAAAACATGGAGAAATGTAATGTGAGCAACAAAAGTGCACAGGAGGCTCGGTACCATGAGTCTGCGAATGACATGTGCTATCTCATTTTATTATGGTAATTCCCACACACATTGCGGAAAAAGGCTCGGCACCATCATTCCGTGAACGCGAAGAAACGCGAAGCTTTTATACAGAGACGCTTTTACACACAGAATCCTTTACACATAAACACTTTTACACACAGACGCTTTCACACAGAAACGTTTTTCATGTACACACACAGACGCATTTCCACACAGAGACTTTTACACAAAAACACTTTAACACACAGACGCTTTTATACACAGACACTTTTACACACATACGCTTTTACATGCAGATGCCTTTTTACAGACGCACACAGACTTTCACACACAAACGCTTTTACACACAGACGCTTTTACACACAGACGCTTTTACACGCAGATGCTTTTTACACACGCAGACACGCTTTCACACACAAACGCTTTTACACACAGACACCTTTACACTTTTACACACAGACGCGTTTACACACAGACGCTTTTACACACAGACGCTTTTACACGCAGATGCTTTTTACACACGCAGACACGCTTTCACACACAAACGCTTTTACACACAGACGCCTTTACACACAGACACTTTTACACAAACGAAAGCGTCCATCGCAATTTTTCCTCAGTTTTTGACGTCCAAGGTCCATTTCGTGCAAAAGGGTTACGATTAACTAAGTAAAATCGCATTTTTTTCTCAGTTTTTGACGTCCAACGTCCATTTCGTGCGAAAGGGTTACGATTGACCAAGTAAAATCGCAATTTTTCCTCAATTTTTGACGTCCAACGTCCATTTCGTGCGAAAGGGTTACGATTGACCAAGTAAAATCGCAATTTTTCCTCAATTTTTGACGTCCAACGTCCATTTCGTGTGTAAGGGAAATCAAAGTCGCAATTTTTCCTCAATTTTTGACGTCCAACGTCCATTTCGTGCGAAAGGGTTGCGATTGACTAAGTAAAGTCGCAATTTTTCTTCAGTTTTTGACGTCCAACGTCCATTTCGTGCGAAAGGGTTGCGCGCGACGCTTCAAAGTCGCAATTTTTCCTCAGTTTTTGACGTCCAACGTCCATTTCGTGCGTAAGGGTTGCGCGGGACACCTCAAAGTCGCATTTTTTCTTCAATTTTTGACGTCCAACGTCCATTTCGTGCGAAAGGGTTGCCGGGGACGCTTCAAAATCGCAATTTTACCTAGGTTTTGGACGTCCAACGTCCATTTCGTGCGAAAGGGTTGCGTTTCGTGGCGCTCCGGCGGCACCGCCCCCGCCTTAAGAGAGAATAGAAGAAGAGCGAGAGGAGATCTGCTGTGAAGGTGTGAAGATGTAGATCTGCAGATGTGAGGGTGTGAAGAGGTAGATCTGCAGATGTGAGGGTGTGAAGATCTAGATCTGCAGGTGTGAGGGTGTGAAGATCTAGATCTGCAGGCGTGAGGGGTGAAGATGTAGATCAGCAGATGTGAGGGTGTGAAGATGTAGATCTGCAGGTGTGAGGGTGTGAAGATCTAGATCTGCAGGTGTGAAGGTGTGAAGGTCTAGATCTGCAGATGTGAGGGTGTGAAGATCTAGATCTGCAGGTGTGAGGGTGTGAAGATCTAGATCTGCAGGTGTGAGGGTGTGAAGATCTAGATCTGCAGATGTGAAGGTTTGAAGATCTAGATCTGCAGATGTGAGGGTGTGAATATCTAGATCTGCAGATGTGAAGGTGTGAAGATCTAGATCTGCAGGTGTGAAGGTGTGAAGATCTAGATCTGCAGGTGTGAAGGTGTGAAGATCTAGATCTGCAGATGTGAAGGTGTGAAGATGTAGTATAACGGCTGCTTTTTTACGAAGAACCCTTCGCAGGCGCTCTCGGGAAAAACAGAGAAACATCCCAAAAAACAGCATTTTACAGCTGGTTCAATCATAAGAAACACAGTTTAGACTTATTCCACTTGCCTTTTCCATCCTTAGCCACTATTTTTCGGACTACTATGAAGTGTTCACAACTTCTGTCCCCAACTCACCTGTCTTGGAAGAACCTGCATGAACTCATGTCATCAATGGTCATCTGCAGGGTTTAAGTAAACGCCATAGCCCGCTTGGGTGTCCCACCTCAGCAAATGGCTGAAACACTATGGTGTTTACCCACGAATCAACTAAACCAGTCATGGGTTGGTTCATGGTTGCCTCCCAGGTAGGTTCATAACAGTTCATACAACCAACCACTTCAACAATCAATAGGTAAGATATATATATATATATACATATATGTATATATACATACACCATCTAAAGTTATTGCCTGTTAATATCCCGTTATCCCATCAATTTGCGTATGATCATTCCCCAAATCAAAGTTGCTGCTATACTATACAATATGGGTATATATATATACTATATATATATATGTATATATTATATATATTCTATATTCTAATATGGTAATCATATTAATGTGGGTAAAGCAATGTCATAAACCAACCATTTGGGAATGGTGTAAACACATTATTGCAATACATATTTATAAGCCCACCCATTAAGACAAACCACCCATTCATTGAGATGATACCCACCAATTTACAATGGGATGCTATACAATATGGATAGATAGATAGATAGATAGATAGATAGATAGATAGATAGATCGATAGATCGATAGATCGATAGATCGATAGATCGATAGATCGATAGATCGATAGATCGATAGATCGATAGATAGATCGATAGATCGATAGATCGATAGATCGATAGATGGATAGATAGATAGATAGATAGATGGATGGATAGATAGATAGATGGATGGATGGATAGATATATAGATAGATAGATAGATTAGATATATGTACTTTCTAATACATATATATATATTGGTAATCATATTATTGCAACACATATATCAGCTTCAGAAGACAGTAAAAAAAAACCACCCATCCCGTGCTCCCATTGAGATGCCCTGCTGGACGCCACG